TCTTCAGGCACCATAAAAACCGGCCTTTAACGGAATATTGTTGACGATGGGGACAATGATATGGTTGATGGTTTATCAGATTAAAATATTTACTATAATAATAGGATAAAGTAAATAAAATATTTATTACGAGGGACTTTCTTCAGTAGGACCTCCCTATTGGTAGAGTCAATTTCTGACCGTTAAATCCGGTCAAAATCGCATCAAATCAAAAAAAAAATATGCAAAACAGACAAATATTTCTGATACAGATCTGAAAGTTGAAAGTAGAGAACTATCGGTAGTTTATTTTTTTGATCCTACCAGAGAAGCTCCCTTGTTATAATAATAGGATAAAGTGACAATCGAAGTCTAATAGTTGATGGTGTTATTAGATTCATTGTTGGAGACACATGATTCTCACATGATATAAATTGAAAAATGACGATTGTTGCCTTTAATGTGTGAATCTCGTATCTTAGATCATCTCCAATGCAAATGCTAATGCCAATTGTATATTTGACACTAAAAAGTTTGATAATGGGATATTTGACATGTTGTGCTCCAATGCATAATGCTATTTAAAATGCCAAAATTGATTTTTCTCACAATTATTAAGTTTTGAAAGTTGTAAAAATAAAGTTTTAATTTTAAAATAATTAGGAAAAAAAAGTTGTAATGATTAAATGAAAAAGTAACTATATAAACCAATAGGAATCAAGTGTCAAATTTGCTCTATGTTATATTTGGTGGGAAATGTGTCATAAAGTATAACATACGGTAAATTTAACGTGACAAATAACATTACATGGGAGAGTATTTTTTCACTCAAATGCTAAATTTACAATTAGCACATCAATTACAATATTACATTAAAGATGTTCTTATACTGTTAATTTAATAACATTCTTTAACTATTAGATCTCAATTGTTATTAATTTTTAAACTAAGAATGTATTTTATAAAAATTAAAAATCCAAGATTTATTGCGTAAAAAACAATGATTTGGTGGGTACCATTGCAATTTACTCCTCAAAACAAAAAGTTTATGAGGGCATATTTATTATTCTTGTCTATTTAAAGAACATTTTGGAAACTGCTTGTTAGGGTTTTTTAGAGTCCATTTGATTTATGTGTTATTTTTTATTTTAATATTTAAATTTTAAATTTTTTATGAAAAAAAAATATCATAAAAATAAAATTATGAATTTAAACGCATAAAATAAATGGCTGGTTATTTTTCCTCTGTACTCTTTTTTCCGCGAACGCCGCTGACGATGGCGACAATGGAGGCGACGACGAAGGCGAAAATGGAGGCAGAACCGTTGACAGATGCCACAACGGGGCGACGACGAAGGCGAAAATGGAGATAGAATCGCTGGCAGAAGACGCGATATCGAAGATTCACATTAACTGTCGAATCGCTGGGAAGCGGGTGGAGAGCGATTTTTAGCCAGTGGTTCAAGTCTTGGACGTAATTGCCCAACCGGTGAGAGTGGGCTGTCCCGGTTCCTGCAGGCACGTGATGCGAATCTCCGATGGTCACCATTGCGAGCCTGCCGTCCTGTCCAGGTTGAAGAAAGGCTCCCTTATACAATTGGAGTTGTTTGCCTTCGAGCCAGTAAAAAACTGTTGTATTATGTGATCCTCTTGTTTCTTCAGTTTTTGGCTTTTTGCGCCCTTTGTTTGTTATATAAATCTTTCATTTTCCATCACAGTGTTCAGAATTGATACTTCTTTCATTTTTGTAAGCTTCTTAATTCATAATATTGGCGTTCTGGGGGGTTTTTGTTCTAATTTTGGTAGCCCTACAGGAACAAATCCACTAGCTCTTGTTGCTGGTTTCGGTGGCTGGGCATGCCAAAGAGCAAATTAATTGTAATCACAAACATTAAGCATAAATTGAAATACTCAAAATAAAATTTAAATAATCATAATCCGACAACATTGTAATCCCATATAAACAAACTAATCCATGAAGAAAATAAAAGTAACAAAAATCAAGGATACAAAAAGAAATACTAGAAAGAAAAACTCACGTAGAGGTGTAACAGTTCTCATGATCACTCTCCAATCTTCAATCTCTTACGGTCTATTTGGTTAGAAGATTAGTTTTTTAATTCAAATCATAGTTCATGATTCGCTACAGTATTTTCTCTCATAAAAAACACACGTAAATAAAAAATAATTCTAATCTCATGGTTATAATTCATGAATCAAATGGGCTCTTATTCTTAATTTTCAAAATATTTTCTCCCGTAAAACAAAATCCTAAAATAAAAATCTAAAAGAATATTATCCTAAAAATCTATCCCAAATTCCGTAAAATAACTCCCCAAATATTTCTAATTTATATCCCTCTTTTCACTATCCCGCATCCTGTTTTATATCTCTCTTTTCTTTGGTGGATCCATCTTCAACTTTACTCGTATGTGAACATGCTCATAAAAGCATTGCTTAGTGCCAATTGGAGGAAGAAGCAAACTTTGAAGGTTCTGGAAAGAAAATAGCCAGAATGGCTGAGACTGAAGCTCGGCGGAAACCGTTGCTGGCAAATGCATCATTATTAGCAGATGAACTAGTTGCACTTGCAGCTATGAATCTATCTCCACTGAATAAGGGTACTTACAATGATGATCACTGTAGAAGAATTTCAGATAGGACCAAAGCTTTCGGGATGATATTGAGGATGGGCCAAGGCCTCTAGGCCCTCTTCGCCTCCAATAGGTGGTAGTTAATCTTTCGGCCTTACGCCATATTTTCGTGTGGTGTTGTATTGTTAAAATACAATACGGTATTTAATGTCAATGATCGTATTGTATAAGGAATTTAAATGTAAAATTTATAATATTAGGGTTAAAATGAATTTTTTGAAAAATCTGGTGGTTATAATTTTTTAAAAATTTGGGGTTGATTTAATTTTATAAGAATTTTTGGGATTAAAATGTCATTTTACAAAAATTAGGGTCAAAATATAATTTTTTAAAAATATTAATTTACATCATGCTCTCTCAATTTTAAAATAATTATAGGTTTTTGGCGATAACCTTATATCGGCCTGACCCCGATTCTAATTGTTTCCAATCACGATATGGATCGTGATATGGATCATGAATCTGATACAAAATAATATAATATCAAACAGAGTGTAAATAAGATTCTTATTAGCATTTGATACAACACTTTTAATAACGTCTAGAGAGATATGCTAACATCATTATCTTTTAAAACACCGTTTAGTAAAAAAAAAAAAAAAAAAAAAAAAAAGTTTTTCAAGTTATTAATTAAAGTTACAAAGTACATGTTACGTACCTTTTAACTTTCATTTTATGATACTTTCTACCCATTAAAAGGAAAAAAAAAAAACAATATTTTGCATACAGTAATGCTATATATGTACCCTTTAAAGCAACATTATGTACATTAATAAACCCAAAACATGCTATTTGTTTCTTGACTTATCTTCATGATTATGAATATTAAATGTTTTATACCTAGTGGACTTCGGAGCACAAATTTTTTTCTTAAGAAGAATGAAGTAAATAGAATCTTAAATAATTAAATTAGATAGAAGATTTTTAAATAAAATTTATGTGGCAAAAAACAAAAAATCTTTTTACCACATAAATCCAATCACATAATAAAAAATTTAGGCACAAAACAAAAATTTAAATTTAATCATGAATAAAAAATTATAGGGTAAAAAATATTTTTACTCTTATTTATTTTAAGGTATTTTTTACGGCCCCTTAAAAAGACCCATCGGTGAGGCTCCTGTTTTTAACCCTTTTTGGATTAATTTTTTAATGGTTAGATCTACGCAGGTCTATATTAAAAGTGCGCCGCACATAACTATTTTTGTTACAGATCTTACTGTTAAAAGTTAATCCAACAGTTAAAAATAGGGATCTCACCAATAAATTTTTTTTTAAGAATCCCACCGTAAAAAATACCTTATTTTAAATATTTTAAAATTTTATTATTTACTTAATTTAATTTTTTTTAAATCTGCTATTTATTACCATTTTTCTTTGTCTTTTTCTCCGTATACACAAAATTTGGTGCCAAAGTAGTGCATTTAACAGTACAGCTGGAGGGTACTGCCGGCTAAACAGCCAAAGTGCCACTCTGCTACAGAACAAAATTCCTTGTGGGCATTCGATCCTACCAAAGCTTAACAAACACCTGTACATCATAATAATATGACAACTCATAGTTATCATAAAATTATTATGTTACGCACTATTTTCTTCACGTTACACACAAAGCCACACTCATTATCCTTCACTTCATTTCGTCATCTATTAGGGTTTCCAACAATGGCAAAATCAAAATGCTATATAGCTAAATATCGACTGGCATATAGTTAACGCCAATTAATAGTTTTTATTTTGTACCTTAAATTTCAAGTTTATTAAAAATGTACACTTTATATTATGGATGTTCTCATGATTGTACCTTAGTTTCAAGTTCATGTAATTTTGACCCCTAATTTGATCAATGTACCCTTTGTAGTTTATCTATAAACCTATAACCAAGCACTGTTTTGGTTTATATATGTGTAAAAAAAAATAATATAAATTGTATTTTCAAGCTAATTTTTAAAGGCTAAAATTTTAATTACTCCTTAGTTTTGGGTTCAACCATAAGCTATAAAGGGTATAAGCTCATTAATCGAGGAGCCAAAAACCATTTAATATTAAATTGGAAAAAAAAAAGTACAAATTTGACATGAACTTGAAATTTAAAGTACGATTCTGAAATTATCTAAAATACCTGGTATATATTTTGATAACCTAAAATGTATATAGGATATGAAATAGTAGATATCCAATTTTTTAGTAATTAAGTCAGAAACTGTTATACCTTATATGTTGAGATATCTGATTTAGTTAAGAAACAACCATCATTTTTAGTGATCACTAATTAGCTCTGCCATATATATACTTTCCATTAACATACATACATATATATATACACACACTTCAAAACCTCTCTCTCTCTCTCTCTCTCTCCCCACCATGCAGAGGAGGCTCCGGCAAGTATGCACCGCAGTGAGAGAGCACAGCGCCGTCAACTACGCGAAAATGGCGACGGCAGGAGGCTTCTGCAACGTGGACCTAATAATCGTCAAAGCCACGTCCCCAAACGACATGCCGTTGCAGGAGAAGTACGTTCACGAGCTCCTCAAAATCTTCTCCATCTCCCAGACGTCGTTCCGAAGCTTCTCCCTCAGCTTCACCCGTCGTTTCGGCCGCACCAAGTCCTGGAGGGTCGCCCTCAAATGCCTCCTCCTCCTCCACCGCCTCCTCCGCTCCCCAGAAAACGACCATTTCCGGTCGGAGCTTCTCTGGTCCAGAAACAACGGACTCATCTCTCTCTTCCCTTGTCGTTTCAATGATTGTTCATCAGCCAGTTCCAAAGACTACACTCTCTTCATCAGATCATATGCTCATCTTCTAGATGAAGCTCTCAACTCTAGTACTTCTCTCTTAGAGAACAAACAAGAGAAAGAGGAAGATGATGAGAAAAGCTTATCAGAGAAAACGAAGGAAGTGGGAAGACTTCTTGAGCTCTTGCCTCAGCTTCAGAGCTTGATCGATAGGGTTATCGAGTGTCGTCCGGTGGGGTCCGCGGCAAAGAGTTTCGTCGTTAAATCCGCCATAAAGAGCATAGTACGTGATAGTTTTGCATGTTACAACACAATTAGGACGGAAATTGTTATCGTTTTGGAGCAACTTTTCCAAATGCCGTACAGTAGTTGTGTTACGGCTTTTGGGGTGTACAAGACAGCGGCAGTGCAGGCAGATAAGCTGTGTGAATTCTATGATTGTTGTAAGGAAATGGGGCTCTGTGGATTTTATGAGTACCCCATTATTGAGAGGATTCCGTTTTTGCAGATTCAAGCTTTGGAGAAGTTACTCAACGGAATGTGGCAGTTCACGGATTCGGAATCATCGCCGTCGTCATTGTCTCCAATGGGGTCGTCGGTGCGGTCTCATTCGCCGGCTTTGGCCGAGGATGAAGAAGAAAGTGGTAAGGTTGGTACAGAAGGAGTTACTAGTAATTGTGAGAAAGTTTTGGAGAAGTTTTGTATTGAGGAGGAGGAACCGTTAATTCAGTTGGATTATGAGAGTGATGAGAACGCAAGTTGGGAGACTTTATTAGAGGCTTCGGTTAATATGGCGCCTGCTCAAAACAACATTTTCTTCAATAGTAATGTTAATGGTTTTGGAGATGGATTTAGTAGTAATAATCATGTCATCAATGGATATGGAGAGCAAAGGGATGGAAGGAATATGATAGTGTACAATCCTAATAGTGTAAATCCGTTTAATCAGCAGGCTTTGATCATGCAAGGCTATAATCATGGACCGTGGGCCTTCAACTTTACATACTCAAGGGGACCTTATAATGTTTTTCCAAGCTCAAAGTAGTACATTGTTTATTTGCAAATAAAGAAAAGGAATTTATTATCATAGTTTTGAAAACAACATCATAGTTGAGATGGAATTTATTATCAAACGTCGGTATGTGCTGTGAAGATTTCAATTTTTGCGATTTAAAGTTTGTGTAATTCTTTGTTGGTAGCCATCTTTTGAAAAGACATTTTCTTTTATATATATTATCATTTTTTTTGGCTTTTTTGCATAGGACTGCTGTGCCCTTAACCTCTTTTTTTTTTTTTTTTTTTTTGCAATTGACTCCTTAAGGTTTTTAATGTTGTATGGATTTAATCACGTGAAAAGCACGTGAATTTTCTTAAGGGCATTAGAAAAAGAAAAAAACCCAGAAACTTCTGGGCTCTCTCTCTGACTCTCTGCAACACCAACAACGCCAGATTGTTTTCATCCAAAGAAGGGAAAATGAATAGGAAAATATTAACAAAATTGTATCCAAAGAGAGGATCCTAAGTAAGTATATCACTCAGTAAAATTGAATTGAATTCCTGAACAACACATACAACATAAATCAGACTTCAAATCGCGATTAACATTTGTTACTTCTGCAGATCCCTCAACGCTATTGTGGTTTCCATATTCTCAAATGCCTAAAAACAAGGAATTGAGTCTGAAGCTCTCAGTTTCCAATACCTCTATTGTTGGGCAAAAAAATTTATTAACATTAAAATAATATTTCACACATAACATAATTTCACTTATACTGGGATTTAATTAGTATAGGAGTTTATTATTTTTAGTTCGACCCATTCAAAATTATAAGAATAACCTCTTAATTACAATCCCTTGGTATAAGGGAAAACCTTTTTATTCCAATTAAAATGGTAAATTCTATCTTCTTTTTTTTTTGTGAATTTGAGAAATTTAGGTTGATTTAAAATTGCGGCTGAACTCGGTGAATTTAGCCGAATTGCCTACATACCCCATTAAGGGATCAAGTCACTTGTAGTTCAAATTTAGAATTGCCTACATACCCCATTATGGGATCAAGCCACTTGTAGTTCGAATTTAGAATTGCGATTTGTGTTTGGATAATTTGGTTTTAAATTTGGAATTTGTATTTAGATAATTCCTAGGTGTATTACCATATGATGAATTGAAAGAACTTTAAAAATTTGACTTGAAATTTAAAATTTGGATAATTCTTCGGTATATGACCGTGTGAGGAATTAAAATGCCTTTTTAAAATTTGTTTTAAGATTTGAATTTTGATAATTCCTATTTCAATTTTGGATTTGAATAATTCCTCGGCATATGACCGTTCTGAAGAATTAAGAGGATTTTAAAATTTTGACTTGAGATTTAAGTTTGGGTAATTCCAATGTGGAATTTAATTTGAATTTAAAAATTGTAACTGCACCTAGATTGTATATCTAGGTTACCTACGTATCAAGTCTTCGTAGTTCTTGAATTTGAATTTTGATTTTGGAGAATTCCCCGATCTATGACCATATGAGGAATTCAAAGATGTTTTAAAATTTGATTTGGAATTTTTCTTTAGAATTTGGATTTGAAAGTTGTATTTGGATAATTCTCCGGTGTATGACCTTATGGAAAATTAAAAGCATCTTTTTTGAATTTGGTGTTGAGGTTTTTTTATTTGAATTGTATTTAATCACTATATGAGACAATGGGCTCATCTTTTGAACTAAGGGACAATAAAGGGGCCCAATTTGCGCACTTTAAATTTTTAGGTATTTAATACTCCGAATTTTTTTGAAATTTATCTGTTATCCCTTATCTTTTTTTTTTAATTTTAAATTTCATCATCTTCAAACCGATTGATTCGATTGTATGATGTATATCCCTTCTTTTATGCTAACAATTTAATTTCAAAGGAAACTTGAATTTCCCTCATCCTGATCCGTTCTACATGTTTCTTTTATATATATCACTTGCGGTTGCACTTGCGGTGGTGTTTGCAGTCGCTGTGACGTTTACAGTATAGAAGCTACAATGGTTCATATATATATATATATATATATATATATATGTGTGCGTGAATGAAGAAGAACATCAATTGCCATCATATTTGCGTGTAGAGTTATCAGCCCAAGTACTTGCTCTTTTTTTTTTCTTTCAGTAGTCTATTGCATACGTTAAAAAAAAACGTATGTCAATGTCTTTCCATTCTTTTCTCTCACACATATATATGTATATATATATGATTCCTTTTTTTTTTTGTCGTTCTATCTTTTTATTCCCTTTTTTCTGTTTTTTTTTTTTTTTTTTACTTTAAGAGATCGTCAATTTTGAAGTTTTTATTGCACTCTGTCATACAGAGCCATCCCCTAATTCCAAACAAGAAAAAAAAAGTAATTACTTTTCAGCTTTTATCATCGGTCAGTTTTTGTTTTAGTCTTTTGACTAAAATTTTTTTGCAGGAAACGAAGACATCAATTTTTTTTATTTCGAGCTGCACTTCATAAGTCAAACCCAAAATTGTAATAATATTTTAAACTGCACCATTATAGTCAAATTCATCACACATGTATATTTTTTAGGCTGCATCATAATGATCAAACTTTTTTTTTTAGAGGTTCTAATTCTTGCAACCTCATGATTTTGTAGAGTTCTAAAATTTACAACTCTGTTTGATTTTTTTGGAGGTTCTAAATTTTGTAACCCCATAAATTTGTAGAGTTCTAAAATTTACAACTCTATTTTGATTTTTTAAAAGGTTCTAAAACTTACAACCTCATAATTTTTCTTAACTAGGTTTAAAAGTTTGCAGCCCATATGTCTTAAACATGAATCTGACCAACAATGGCAGATGAACTTCTTATCTTGAGATGGTACTTCGGTACAGAAGAAGGCTTGAGAGAAAAAAAAAATGTGTAGACAATTTCATGTACAAAACATCATAATGAGATTAAAGGACAAATTTTTCTACCTCTTTTTTTTTTTCTTTCGACAATTCTCTCTACACACACTACCTCACACTTCTCTCACTACTTTCAATACATTCACTTTATCTGCACAAAGTTTGCTACGTGGGTTCCTAATGGTCTGCCCTCCCATGCCTATATATAGACGTTTGAAGCAAACCCACTACTTTTTTCTGTATTTATTTTTCTCATTAGTCAATCATTTTTTTCAATCCTCTACTTTTATTTTGATTGGCTCTTTTTCACAATATTTAAATATGATTGGCTGCTTTTATTTATGAAGGATTACCCCTACTCATGTATAATAGTTTTGTAGATTTCTCCATGTTATTTTTTCACCAAACTCCCCACTAACGCATTTTATTCTTTCTTCACGAACCCACTTCTTCCAGGAAGTTTTCCAACCTCCCACGTGACAATTGTAGTTTTTTTTTTACTTTAACAAATGCCCGCTTGAGTATCTACGTGACATTTATGTTCGCGTGTCATACTTGAGAAAAGAAGAAGAAAATAATAATAATAATATTTTATTCATTTCTTATCCTTTTTTTTACACGCTCATTTATGGATGCTTTTGGCAAACTTCGTTCGAAACGAGCCCCTGAGGAATCTGGCAAAGAACTTACTTCAGGACCAAGTTACCAACGTCCGGTGTTCGAGCTTCAACAAGATTTAGCGGTCCCCTTTATTTGCTTAATTCTTAAGAAGTTCATTCTGGTTATTTAAGATATCTCTTCGATGGTGAAGAAAACACCATCCTATTGAGTCGGTAGAAAGGTGTCATTTTCAAAGCTGAAACCTTTAAGGAAGTTGACAATGGGCATGAATGGGATTTCAGGAATGCGGTTACTCTCGATTTTTACTATGGTTTGCATCGAATACTACAAGAAAAAAAGAACCTCCTTTGCAATTCAATTTTCGTGGTCAGGCACACTTCCAACCTTGTTTAATGGAGTGGACTGCAAAGATTATAAGTCATAACTGCAACGTTTTGAATAGAGTAGAGATTTATGATGTAGTAGCTGTTGCGCAATATCCTTTTTCTCATAGCTGTAATGTTTGGCGAGCATTCGCTGAATTGTGGGGACCAACAAGCAATACTTTCCATCATATTGGTGGTGAAATGAGAATCTCATTGTATGATCTGAAAACCATCAGAGGTTTGCCTATTTTGGGAATCCCGTATGAAGAATTTATCCCGACAAATAAGAAGCTATTGAACACTTCTTTAAATCATCCTTGCATTGTAGAACTTTTAAGGATCCATTCTCGTATATGCAATGTTTTGAAAACTCAATTTGTATCTTGAGATCAATGGACTGAATATTTTTATAGAGGAGAACATATGTTTGTTGGTTTGAAAACTGAGCAGGCTCAAGATTCTCATTCTAAAGATTTCCATAAAAAGCCTAAAAAAAGCCAATTAAGACAGCTTCCTTTTCAGGTTTCAGAAGTTGGTATGCTCTCTGCATTCCTATCACTGTGGTTAAGTTGTTTCATCCTTCCTACTAAGGGTGGCTACATAAGGCCTGAAACTTTTTATATGGCCTCTCTGATGGCTCAAGGCACGAAAGTGTCACTTGCCCCCACAGTTTTGGGATACATTTATCGTGCATTTAATGAGTATGCCGCAGGTGCGAATGGATTCGGTGTTAGCCGTCTTTTTCTTCCAATGCACTATGTCATCGGATGGTTAGCTAAACACTTTCCTTATTTATATTTTGGTTAGGAAGACAACAATAACCTGCCTTTGTTGCATAAATATGATGGGATCGAGCATGAAAAAAGAACTATGACTAGAAGTAGGCATATGACACGCGACGAACAGTATGTCCGTTACTGCCCATATTCATACCATGAAGAGAGAGATACGGATTACTTAGACGATGAAGACTTAACCAACGAGAAATTTGAACTTTCATTGTCCATGCATGCAGCTTTACTCCCTGTGAGGGTAGGTGGTGCTATATTTATGGAACCATACTATCCAAATAGATTCGCTCGCCAGTTTGGTTTTGATCAAGGTGTTCCTTCATATAAATTTCATTTTACGGTTGATGCGAAAAGGACTTGTGGGATAGATGGGTTTGCTCCGGTATTTATTTTTAAAAAGATGTACTTGGACTTATTTTCGTATACCGATGGCCACCCGCATAGGGCAATGCACATGGTGGTATTGCCGTTGGTGGATGCGTAGCACTACTTCTTACTTGGGACGCTCAGTGAAAAATCTTCATTCATTATTTGAGAAAAAGCCATACAACGAAGAAGATGTATACGTGATTACTGACATCTGACATCTTCATGCCAGTGTAGATGACATTTTCATTCTATCTCATTCTCTGGCAGATGTTGTTAATACTCATGAAGCTTCTCGATCAAGTGATGGTGATGAGCGAGATACAAATCCTAAAAGAATGAGACGTACAAAGATTACTGAGCCTGATTATGCAACCGCTGAAACTGTCTCTTTCCCGGCAAAGTCTCTAGAACCTGGACATATGGATATAGGACCTGCTTCTTCTTCATTCCAAAATACTGAAATTGGTGTTTTTAGTTATGATCATATGCAAGTTGACGCTAATATGATCACTTCATCTTTTGGGCCGGGAAATAAGCCAGCAAGATTTGAAGATCTTCCAGAAGTCATCGGAACCCCATCATCTCCTGATAACCACGTAATTGATGTAATTAGGACTCTAGACGATGAAGAGCTTGATGATTTTGATAGTTTCAGGGAGCAGGCTATTGTTGAAGTCCCATATGAACCTCCCCTATTGGCAGTTGTCGTGCCTTTTACATCAAAAGTCATTTATCGAATTTCTACCATCATTGATCAAATTTCAGATAAACCTACTCGGGATTACTTGATCAGTATGTTGAAGTCAATCTCTGATTGGGTTTTACTTTCAACATCGCCAGAGAGTACTTTAAATTATTGCTCTCAGGTGCCTGAGTATCTCAAAACAATAGATTTCCTCATTGATATGAAGGGAATATCTCGAGGTGAGTTCGTATGGTTTAGAGATACCGTGAACCGTTTGTTCAATTCAGAGAAACATTTAATTACCTTTTCTCCTTTTATTAAAGAGAAAGCTTCCATGAACGAAAGGTTAATTCTAGATTTGATTCATCGCGAAAAGGAGCATCTTACTGCTATGGATATTTTGTCTAGCGATCTTTTAAGTGCTCAATCGGCTGTAGAGAATATTGAGGCTTCTAAGGCAGAAGTAAAAAAAGCTGAGCAGAAGGCGTAGTAATTGCGACGTTCATATGAAGATCGATTAAAATTCACAAAAGATGCAGTTTTCCAGCTGAAGAATTCTTTAGATGAACAAATAAAGATCGGTGATGGGATCAAGCAACTGTAGGTTGAAGCTAAGGTTGCAAGGTTTATCGAAATTCAAGAAGCTACAGCTGAAGCCAGGTCTCAGGATCAAGAATCTCAGAAGATACGTGACTCTTTGGATGCATTCTTCAAGAAAGACTGATGATGATGTCATCCCTTCTTTTTCTTCATTTAGACACCCTCTTTGTCTCTTCTTTTTATTTATTTATTATTTTTGTCACTAGGATTTGGCTTTTCCTATTTTTTAGATTTATTATGCTTATTTTAAAATAGCATGTATTTGGACATTTTGTTCAATTTCAGTAATTGAATAAGAGAGGGTAATTTGTTTGTTTTGATTTTGTGGTTGCATCCAATTTATACTAGATTGCCTACATATCCTTTTCACAGGAATCAAGCATTCCGTAGTTCTATAAGGGAACATATTTTTTTTTTATTTTGTGGCTGCATCCAGTTTATTACCGGATTGCTAAAGTACCCCTTTGGGCGATCAAGCCATTCGTAGTTCACTCTGCTTTATTTATTTACTTCCGCTATTATCTTTCTTCTGCTGGTTATGTGTTAGGAGGTGTACCTCCTTATTTAGGCATGAAATTTTTTGATAAACTTTCCATTTACACATGAGTAAATGCAGTGACTTTCTGAATCAGAAAGCTCATATGCCCCTTTTCGGAAAACCTTAGTAACGACGTATGGTCCTCCCACTTTGCTTCAAATTTACCTTGCATCCTCTTTGTTATAACAATTGGTCTTCTGATTGTAAGGACCAATTCTCCCACCGTGAAGGATCTAAATTTGACCTTTTTGTTAAAGGCCCCTACCACTTGGGCTTGGTAAATTTTGAGCTTTTGTTGTATTGCGAGCCTTTTCTCATCTAATGCTTCAAGTTCAGCTAGTCTCATTTGGACATTTTTGTCCAGTGCCATCAATTGAGTAGCAATTTTGAAATATGGTCATTGCACTTCTAATGGGAGTACGGCCTAGGAGCCAAAAACCAAACTGTATGGTGTGTAACCCGTTACAGTTCGCACTGTGATTTTATAAGCCAATAGGGCTTCTGGGAGGCGTTCATGCTAATCTCTCCTATTCTTTGACGTCATTTTCTTTAGGATTTTACATAACACTTTGTTAAAGGCTTCTGCTTGGCCATTTGAGGACGGATTATAACTTGCTGAGAATCCATGTCAGAATTTGTATTTTTCCATCAACTTCATCATTGCTTTGCATTTGAAATAAAGAGGGTTGTCAGATATAATCTTTGATGGCACTCCATAATGGTAGATAATATGATTTTTTTTAAGTTTGTAACATCTTCTGCTCCTACTTCTTTTAAAGGTACCGTTTCAACCCATTTTGAAAAATAGTCTGTCCCAGCCAAAATATACTTATGACCATTTAAGGATGCTGACGTGAAAGGTCCCATTACATCTAAACCATGAGTATCAAATGGCCATGACATGATTGATGGGTGAAGAGGCAATGGAGGTTGATGGTTGAAATCTCCATCAAGCTGGCATAATATGCAACGCTTAGCAAAATTAATTGAATCTTGCACCAGGGTGGGCTAATAATAACCTAATCTTTTTATTTGTGCTGCAAGTTTGGGGCCGGATTGATGAGCTCCACATGCTCTGACATGTGTTTCTTGAAGCGCATATGATGCCTCATCTTTTGATAAACACCTCAATAGTATTCCATCAAAAGGTCGTCTGTACAAAGTGTCATTTATGAAGACAAATTGAAGAACCCTTCTTCATACTTCTATTTTTTTCTTTGGATTATCTGGTAATGCCCCATGTTGGAAGTAATCGATCAATGGTTGATGCCAATCTGTTTCCTCTGTATTTTCACTAAAAGTGACTACATTTACCGTTTCTTCCTCTTGTGTTCTTCCAACTATTGGTGGTAGCAGACGTCATTCACCAATAGTTATCTGCATTCCCCTTTCATCTGGTAAACTAAGGATGCTGCAAGACTAGCTAAGGCGTCAGCTTTGTCATTTTCTGATCTTAGAATGTGACTTAGCATGATGTCTTGAAACTGGGACATTAAATGCTTTGTTTTCTCGTGATATGGAGTCAAGTTCTCATTCTTCACAGCGTACTCCCCATTTATTTGTTTGATGATCAACTGGGAATCACCAAACACCCTCAGATGGCTTATCTGCATTTCGAGTGTTATTTCCAAACCAATAATCAGTGCTTCATATTCTGCAATATTATTTGTGCAAGTTGCAAGAATAGAGAATGAAAATGGTATTAACCCCCCTGATAGTGTAATGAATACAATGCATGCCCCAGCATTATTTTTCCTTACTGCTCCATCAAAGTAAAGCTGCCAGAAAGACATTTCAGTGGCAAATACTTCTTCATCCGGAAGATCATCGGGCAATTCCATATTGTGAGGAATAGGGTGTGCTGCCAAGAAATCAGCGAGTGCTTGGCCTTTGACTGCTTTTTATGGAACAAACTTAATATCAAACTCGAACAAGATCATATACCATTTAGCGAGACGCCCTGAGAGTACCAGCTTTGAGAGTATGTACCTCAAGGGATCTGGCCTTGATATGAGAATCACTGAGTGTGATAACAAATAATGGCGTAACTTTGTGACAACAAAGATTAGGGCCAAGCACATTTTTTCAATTGAGCGATAGTTGTGTTCTACCCCTACTAAGGTTATACTTATATAGTATAAGGCATGTTCTTTTCCATCTTCATTGTTTTGAGCTAACAATGCTCCTAAAGAGTGTTCAAGCGCTGCAATATACATGATCAATGGTTTTCTGATGATTAGAGCCATAAGTACTAGTGGATTCAACAAGTATCTTTTTATGCATTCAAAAATATTTTGACATGTATCATCCCATACAAATGGCACATTCTTTTGAGTTAACCTTGTAAAGGGTTGGCATCTACCAGACATGTTAAAAATGAATCTCTTTATGTATGCAAGTTTCCCCTGCATTCCTCGCAACTAGCGCAGGTTACGAGGTGGAGGCATTTCTGTGATAGCCTTTATTTTTGCTAGATCAATTTCAATTCCTCTATGTCTCACCACAAACCCGAGGAATTTTTCAGAAGTTACACCAAATGCACATTTCACGGGGTTCATTTTAAGTTGGTATTGCTGGAGTCTATCAAATACTCGTTTAAGGTCATTTAAATGGTGCTCAATTTCTTTAGTTTTGACTACCAAGTCATCGACATAGCATTCAACCATGTTATGGAGCATGTCATCAAAGACAATCGTCATGGCCATCTGATATGTTGCCCCTGCATTTTTAAGTCCGAATGGCATCACTATATAATAATAAGTGCCTCTTGGTGTTCAGAAAGCATTAAGCTCTTCATCTTCTGGTGCCATCTTGATTTGGTTATATCCCGAGAATCCATCCATGAAGGATAACGCCCCGAATCCAGTAGTAGCATCAACTAACAACTCAGTTATTGGGAGTAGAAATTCATCCTTTGGACAAGCATTGTTGAGGTCTCTATAATCCATGCAAATACGAATTTTCACGTTCTTCTTCTGTACAGGGACAATATTCGCCAACCAAGTCGGATATTGGACTTCCCGGATAAAGCCAGCTTTAATTAGTTTATCAACATCTGCTTCAATTTGTTCAACTAGCTGTGGACAGACATGTCTTTGGGCTTACTTTACATATCGAGCATCCTTTGATACAGCTAGTTTATGCACTGCCACCTCTGGATCTAACCCAGGCATATCTTTATAACTCCAAGCAAACACATCCTGATATTCACGAAGAAATTGCTCATATGATGTTCTTGTGTTGTCAAAAGAGCACTCACAAAAACTGGCTTTAGGTCATCTTCCGTACCGAGGTTAATTTCCTTAAGCTCGTCAACCGTTACTTGTCCTCCATCTTCTAATCCCGGAGGAGCTAGTACAATGTTAATGAATTCTTCTAAGGACTCAAGTGTACGATTTTCTGATTCATTACTAAAACTTTCTTCGAATGATACACAATTGACCTGTTTATTTTCTTCTGGTTGCTCTTGAATCACAATCTATTCTTTTTCTAATAAGCAGAATTTTGTTGTCTTTTACCCTTCCACTTCTTGTTCTTTTTGAACCATTTTGATCGAGATGCAGATGGGTATTTGATTCTTTCAAAGACAGAAACTCGTGATGTTGTCTTTCTCATATTTTCTTCTGAGAAGATGTCATGTTTTCTCTTCGTAAATACTTCAGGCTCAAAGGCAGCTTTCAAATAAGAGTTGTTTTGATTAATTACAACTTTTCCGTGTTGTTTCTTGAAAAAAACTTTCTTGCCCTTTGCCTTTGATTTCTTGACATAGGGTTAGGAAATGTCCTTGGCTTGTTTGAATTGACAGTTACAACACGTTTGTTTGCGCTTCCGTGTTCACCAAAAGTAATTGACATTTGCATTTTTTCAACTGGAAAAGTTTGATCTAGCTTCTGAAACGAGAAGGTGAAACTGGTCATTAATGTCTCAACCACACTCTTGACGAATGCTAAAACCTTTTGTCCAGGAGCTCGCTGACTTTTGGGCACGTACTTAAAAGTCATCTTTTGATTGGGCTTGGATTAGCTCTTAACCTGTTTGGTGGTGTCATTCATCTTTTCTCCTTTTGACATTTTGTTGGCATCCCTTAAATTTGTGACATCGGCCGATTTATAGAACTTGGTATCAGCGTAGTTTACCTGTTCCCCTCTAAACGGGTCCAGATCTGCACTTACTTTCATTACTTCCCCATCTTTACAAAACTTAAAGCATTGATGAAGTGTTGAAGGGGTAACACCACACCCATGGAGCCACGGTCTTCCTAACAGCACGTTGTAGGAAGTATTTGAATCGATCACATGAAAAATGACGTTTGAGCTTAATTCACATATTTCAACTTTTAAGGTGATACTCCCTAATGCTCTATCCCCCACTTGGATTGTCAATAGGGAAGGGGATAAATGTCAAGGTTGTAAGCCAACTGCCCTGAGACTTTTCAAAGGGAGTACATTTACCACCAAACCACCATCCAACATTATGCGGTTTATTTCAGTATCTAGAATCATTCCTATAACATAAAGTGGTCGATTGTGGTTTTCTTCACCAAGTTGGCGGCCATCGTCGTTAAAGGAGATGCATGCCATGCAAGAGGCACATATCTCATAAGATGACACTTTACCTCCGAGAGCCTCTATTTTCCCTTTAAAATGTTCAGGATCGGTCAATGCAGTTATGAGTGCTTTTCTAAGCTCTGGAGACATTTGTAGAGCATCATAAACACTTAACAAAGTAAGAATACACTTTAAATGAGCCAGAATGTTGTAATTAATATAGCCTGAATGATTTTCTTCTTCTTAGATAGACTTAGGATGGGCTCCGTTGTCTTCAGTTTTTGTGTTTTTCTTGCCTTTTATGAGCTCATTTGCCTCTTTTACTTTCTGAATGTTGCACTTCATTTCCCGAAGTGTTATCTCATCTACCTCCTCTGAATTGACGGCATTTTGAAGGGAAACGAGCTCTTTCATCCCTTCTTTTTATTCTCTTCCTTCTTCTTCAGAAATCACGCAACAATGATCAGCATCTTCATCATAAAGTGGCTTTTCCTCTAGTGATATTTCGGAGGTGATATCACTATTGTTCTTTTGTTCTTCGAAAGCTCTAGGATCCTTTTGAAATGCTTTAGGCAAGAATTCCTTTAGGATGAATGGCGTTCTTATTGGTTGCATGTATTCTTCTTCATTGAGATTCCTTGTTTTCTTGGCTCTTCTTCTTTTTTTTTGTTCTTTTTTAGTTCGGGCCTCCCGATAAATCGAATACCTGAATGTTTGATTGTCCTCGCACTTCTTTGTAACGATTTTCATTTTCTTGGACTTCATATTCACATGAAGGTGCCATTCATTCCCTAACTCAGGTTTATTGACCAGTAGATCTTTCCACGTTTCAATACTTGGTTCATTCATGAGTTCATACAACATGGCATGTTGGCATTTCTTGGAGTAAGTGTCTCAGGGTATATGTTGACAACCTTTACTTCATCGTCTATTTCAAAGGCTACCAAAATGGCTCCTCTTCGTAAGGTATTCACCGGTAAACGGTCGTCCTCTACTAATGAGACGGTATTTGATGTTGCTTTTGGACATGAAGAATCCACTTCTATTTCTTTTCTTTTGATCATTCCTTCGACTATATTCGTCATGACATAACAATCCTTTAAGGAATGACTGATGATGCGATGGTATCAGCAATAATTGGGATCATCGGTCTTATCAACCTCATTTGTGCTTTTTGGCTCAGGGAGTTTTATTATTTTTGCAGCAAGCAACTCATCAAAAATTTGCTCTACATCCTCATCATCAAAAGAATATTTAACCTCTTTTCTTTCCTTAAGAGTGAGTTTCTTTGGCTCTTATCTTGCTTTTCCTTTGTCTTGATTCTTGTCATTATTAACAAAGGTAGTCATTATTTCGGTCTTTTTTAATGGCTTTTTATTTTCAACTTTCTTCTCTTCTAGGCGAGATCTCATCATAGCACCTTTTTGACGAGCTATTTGCCTTTCGACTGCACTCACCTTTGAAACCAATTCATTAAAAGATTGTGGTTCCACAGTTCCAATAAAAGTAGCTACTTCTGGCACGAGATTATTAGCACACATAGAAACTGCAAAGATCTCTGTCAATTTTTCCGAACAATATTGGAGGTTAAGATTCCTCCATCTAGTGATAAAGTCATTTGCACTTTCTCCCAATCTTTGCTTAGTTTTCACTAAATCTGTGATTGTTACTTTCTTTTTTTAGGAGACAAATTAGGCTAGGAATGCTTTTTGCATATCATCTCGTGTAATAATAGAACCTGGAGGAAGTTGTGTATACCATGTGAATGCTGCTCCTTTTAGAGATTACACAAATTGTCTAATCAATAGTGCGTCTGATTGAGCAGTCTCGCCGCACGCAGAGGTATAGTATGCCAAATGTTCGTGTGGAGACTCATTTATCCCATCAAATTTTCAAAATTTAATCTTACATAATATCGAGAGAATAATTTGATCATAATGTGCCAGGTAAGGCTTTTGGTACCCTAATACTAGCATACACATAGTAGCTTGATATTCTCGTATTCCATCCATAATCAACGTCCTCAATTCTAGTTGTGGTATTGGATCCACAAGTTGTCTTGTCTCATTTCTCAAGACTGGTTGAGGTATTGGGGATGCATATGTCGATTTACGTGTAGAGTTATCAGCCGAAGTACTTGCTCTTTTTTTTCTTTCAGTAGTCTATTGCAAACGTTAAAAAAACGTATGTCAGTGCCTTTCCATTCTTTTCTCTCACACATATATATGTATATATGATTCTTTTTTTTTTGTCGTTCTATCTTTTTATTCCTTTTTTCTGTTTTTTTTTTTTTTTTTTTTTGCTTTAACAGATCGTCAATTTCGAAGTTTTTATTGCATTCTGTCATATAGAGTCATCCTCCAATTCCAAGCAAGAAAAAAAAGTACTTGCTTTTCAGCTTTTATCATCGCTCAGTTTTTGTTTTGGTCATGTTCGTTTCGTTGATTCGAATTTTGTTACAGTAAAAAGCTCTTACAAATAATCACATCTAACTTTTTTGCTACAGTAAAAAGCTCTCACATACAATTACATCTCAACTCGAATTCTAAACTCGAATCAGCGAAACAAACGAGGGTTTTGACTAAAATTTTTTTGCCAAAAACGGAGACACCAATTTTTTTTTTATTTTAGGATGCACTTCGTAAGTCAGACCCAAAATTATAATAATATTTTGAACTGTACCATTATAGTCAGATTCATCACATATATATATACACATGTATATTTTTTAGACTACATCATAATGATCATACCTTTTTTTTAGAGGTTCTAATTTTTGCAACCTCATGATTTTGTAGAGTTTTAAAATTTACAACTCTGTTTGATTTTTTTGGAGGTTCTAAATTTTACAACCCCATAATTTTGTAGAGTTCTAAAATTTGTAACTCTATTTTGATTTTTTTAGAGGTTTTAAAACTTGCAACCTCATAATTTTTCTTGACTAGGTTTAAAAGTTTGCAGCCTGTATGTCTTAAACATGAATCTGACCAACAATGGCAAATGAACTTCTTGTGTTGAGATGGTACTTCGGTACAGAAGAAGGCTTGAGAGAAAAAAACGTGTAGACAATTTCATGGACAAATTTTTCTACCTCTTTTTTTTTTTCTTTCGACAATTCTCTCTACACACACTACCTCACACTTCTCTCACTACTTCCAATACATTCACTTTCTTTGCACAAAGTTTGCTACGTGGGTTCCTAATGGTATGCCCTCCCATGCCTATATATAGATGTTTGAAGCAAACCCACTACTTTTTTCTGTATTTATTTTTTTAATTAGTCAATCATTTTTTTTAATCCTCTACTTTTATTTTGATTGGCACTTTTTCACAATATTTAAATATGATTGCCTGCTTTAATTTCTGAAGGATTACACCCCCCCTGTTTTGTAGATTTCCCACTTTATTTTTTCACCAAACTCCCTACTAACACATTTTACTCTTTCTTCACGCACCCACTTCTTCCAAGAAGTTTTTCAACCTCCCACGTGACAATTGTAGTTTGTTTTTTTTTTCTTTTTCTTTAACATATATATCAAAACTTTGTTCCTGAAATACCCACAAAGGGGGAAAAAATATTCCAAAAATAGTTGTCCCAATGTTTTCAAATCTTCAATAAACCTTAAAATCAATCAAAATATTTGTTTTAGGGTAAAATTTCGCACCCCACGTCATGCACTAGATGAGTGCCACGTGGCATAGTTGAAGGATTAATGGTCATGCCAGCATCAAGTATCCGACAGCAAGATAAGCAAAAGATCGACCGTACAGAAGAGTCTAGATAAGCGAGACGTCGACCATATAGCGGAGTCAAGATAAGTGAGAAGTCAACTGTACAGAGATCAACCACTCCATATAGATGTAGGCGGAGATGGCTTGTTAAGCGTCTGAAAAGCTGATTGCACGCAGCCCGAAGAAAAACTACACCGGCAAGATATCTTACGTGACTTGTAAGCAAGCAAAGTTGGTAGTGGAGTTAGTGAAAAACCACTGTTGACCGGCAGAAATCCCATCCACCAAGGATTACATCCAAAAATATGGATACAAAGTGATATAATGTAATGATGAAAATGAGAGAAGTTGAGAAAGGATAGAGCAAATATATATGAGAGAAAATGGCAAGCCCAGAGGGGCTCTCATTTTGCAACTGGTATTCTCAGAAGATAGTAAAGATTTTTCCTTATAGTGGACATAACTCTTAAATAAAAGAGTGAACCGCTATAAATCATAATGTTCTTTCTGCTTAATTATCTTTAAAAATCATCCCAAAATATAATTAAACCATCAAAATCACATTAATCACTTCTAAACTCAAATTAATACAATTGACGAATTTTCACCGTCAACAATATTGACATAGAAAGAAAAAACGCCAGAATTAGTCTTTAAATTTTTTTAAAAGTAAAAAAATCCTCAAGTTTTATTGCTACAGTATTTTCTCTCACAAAAATTCAACGAAAATAGTAGAAAATATGCCAATATGAAAAGCTTAAGAAAGTATATAGGCCAGTTTTTAGTTATAGAAATTAATAGGCCATAACTTGTCAAGTTATGGTTCATAACCAGATAAGTTATGGACAAACTTGTCAAGTTATGGTTCATAGTTAGGCAAGTTACGGACAAAAACCATGAATTATGGACAATAACTTGTCAAATTATGGTTCATAACCAAACAAGTTACGGACAAAAACGGTAATTTAACCTATTTATTAACTTATGTAAACTATTGGCCTATTAATTTTAATTTATCTCAAGTCTTGACATATTTTCCTCTTTCTCCCAAAATTCAAATTCTACTTTTTTACTACAGTATTTTTCTCTCACAAACACAACTCGAGTTAAAAACTCGCATTGTGAAACAAACACCCTCTAAATTACCAATCGTGAAAAGTTAAAAGGAGTCCTAGGCAAAAAAGCCTCTCTTTTTTTCCCTACTAAAACAGTATTTAGCACACCCGAAAGATCAGCTTCATATGAAAGAAATACCAAAAAAAAAAAAAAGCTTGAATTTTTTAGTCTCTTAAAGATATTCACCATTTTACAATCAAAGAAGCTTTCCAAGAAACGAAAAACAATATGGACTTTGTGCCAAAATGCCAACTGCCAAGAATGATTTCACTTCCTTTCTTATAGCCTTGCTCAAAGGCATATTTCTAAGAAAAGTATGTAAAATGAGCGTAAATTGTAAAACCCCCTGATCAATTGATATCAAAGCAACATAGAACAATGCGATGAAAAGTGGTTTGAACTATTTCAAACCTTCAAAAGAATAGTTAACTCGACATTTCCTGTACAAGGCCGGCCATATAAAATAGTGAACAAATTAGAGTAAATAAATAGTAATAACTAGTGCAAAACTTACAATACTGTACATTGGGGTTCTAGCCACTAACTACCCAATAAATGAACTTTGAGGAGGAACCCAAAATTTCTTACAATAGAAAATCTGTTACAACATGAGGACGGGAACTACATCAAGTACAAAGATGTATAAATCATTGCTTACGCCGAATAAAATCAAAGTGATGATCAAGTTTTTCGATTTCATTACTTCCGATGCCTCCGCTTCAGCTCAGCTCTTTGCCTCTTCTCATCATCCCACTCACGGTCATGCATCCTATAAGACATGGTTAAGGAGAATAACAATCGAACAAGCTGTGAGGAAAATTGGAGTGATACGTCAGACATGGATGCCAAATGTTAAATGATGTTAACCCAGTTTCGACAATATGCTTTTGCACGTGACATATCAAACTACATCAAAACACTATACATGGATGGGGCGGCTACAATGTACACAGCAGTAGTAAACAGTATTTTGACCAACTCAGATGCTTTCCTCAGTGGTTAGAAAACAATTACTTTTCCCCTCAAGCTAGGGATAAGGTCAAGTTGCTTTTTTCACCAAGACAACCAAAACAAATCAAACAGAATCAGGACTTGGATTTTCATAAAAGAACATCCTGATGATGCAATCTATGGTATGCAATTATATTATTTTCATTATGGCTAGCTATAAAGAAATAAGCGATGCTATGGAATTGATTTTTTAAGGATACGGGTCAATGTCACGCCGAGTCATCTTGCTGGCGATTTCTTTACCATGAACCCGCAGACTTGGTTCCTCCACATAACCAGTGCGCTGGATCATGGCCCCCTTGCGGTCTCCCCTATCTCTTCCATCATACGACTGTGACATATTAATAGTAAGGGGAGGTGGAGGGGCAACTGGGGAATACTCACCAGCTTCTACTGAGGGCAAATGGTCCCTCTTAAGTTTCCTCCTCTTAGAAGCTCCACTTGCATCCATTTCCTCTTTCAAAATGTTTGCCTTTTCCCTTTCCCTTTCCCTCTCTCTCTCCCTTTCCCTTTCCCTCTCCTCCACCTACAAACAGCAAGCGAAAGTTTCACTTTGCCACACAATCGAACTAATAAAATGAAAATCAATCACGTGTATACTGTTACATACCTTTATTGACAAACCTTCTCGATCTTCCCTTTTTCTATCTCGAAAATCATCCTCTCTTCTACGTTTTGTCTCATCTTGGGCAACTAAGGATTCCTCAGATCGCCGCCGCTCCTTTTCTTCATGTCTTGGAGAAAGCCTTTGCGAGTGTCTTGTAGTTCCAAACCTTCTATCAACATCTTCATCTCTTCTACTAGAATTAACAGATTGGGGAATCACATGAGGAGGTAAGGGCGGTGGTGGCGGCAAGTTTTGTGCGTATAATCGATCATCAACATGAGATTTTTCTACAGCTGTATCATTGTATCGTACTTTACTTCTATCGTCCTTGCCTTTCTCAGGAATTCTATCAAAATTCCTATCACTACTCCTATCTTGACCCCTCTCAACTGAACGCTCCCTACCATATCTTTCCATCGACCTGTCTCTCGTTTTCTCTGGTAATTCATCTCCACGGGACTTATCAGCTCGCTCTTTTTCCCTATGATCCTTATCATGTCTTTCACTGGCCTTATCTTTCGACCGATCCACTAGCTTATCAGCAGCCCTATGAATATTTTGTTCATCAGCACCAGTTTTGTCAAGATCACCGAACCGAGCATCAACAGACCTCTCTCGCTCAGAGGATCGAAATTCACCTTCAAAATCTCTCACTTCGGTGTCCCCTTTCCGTCTTTTACTTATTCTATTCAGCAGGACTGGTTCTCTTTTGCGGCTTATCATTCAATTTTGAAGTAGAAGCGTGTTCCTGTCTAGGAGAATGCACAGCTCGCGAAGAAGAGTGCCTTGGGGCATCCAGAACTTCTACCCCATCTTCCTTTAGCGCAGAAACCCTAGAGTCAGAAGACTTGGCGGCTGCATTCTCTAGCTTTGAGTCACTCCCATGCATATCTGATGTTCTCGTGGATGGAGCTGAGCTTTTCAAGACTGTGTTTCCATTTGCTGATACTACAGATGAAACATTCGCAGCCCCGCTCAGCCTTCCTTCAGATGAATGAGATGTATCTCTGTCACTGATTGAAGAACCGGAAGATCTGCCAACAGATTTTCCAGTTCTATTATCATCTTTTGCAACATCTTGTTTTGGTGGCTTAGTAAGTGATCCAGCAGCCACGGATCGCTTTGTTTGAGCTCTCAGCTGTGAACAGAAAAAAGCCAAATTTCTGAGAAACAACAAAAAAAAAAAAAAAAAAAAGGAGATGCAAAAGGAGAGGTTTAAAAACTACAGTAACAGATTAAAACATTTTCAAGAAGCAGAGTTCAGCGAACAATTTAGCAAGAGAAGGTTAGGTGGCATGGTGCAGGTTTAAACAATAAGAACTCGTCAAAAGTCTATACTTTTTCACCATAAAAAAAGAACATGTTCTTTCGTCAAACTGACATGAAACCCAAGCGCAGCACATAATAAATAAACACAGAGACAGAAAAATTAACAAGTATCAAGAAACTATAATTAGTAAGATAATGGCAAGTGGAAGCAGACCAGGGAAATTCTTCATATGCATAAATATACAACAAATTGGATTCATATCATGGGGGAAAAAAGAGCGGGCTTTCCTCAAGCCAGCTTATGAAACATAATGCAAGCAATACAAGCATGTCAAAAAACTCGAGAATTCAGCAAGTCCAACTTAAAATAAATAAATAAATAAATCATCAAATACTACCTCAGGTTCCGAAGTGTTTTTCAGGGCCACTTTTGTGATATTTTCATCTGACGGTCTATTCATGGAATCATCCAGTTGTTTCTGATTTTCGGTTGATCTTGATGTTCCAGATGTTAAAGCAGCTGAAGGCACGGATGGCTGAACATCTGACCCATTTGGTAATGACCCACCTTTCAGCTTTACATTTCCTGAATCAGATTTTGAATTAGAAACACTTTCTGCTCTTTCCGTTCTCACATCAGTAGGTCTTGCTTTTAGCATCTGATCTTTGACTGAATAAGAAGAATCTGAAACACTAGTTTTAACCCCAGCAAAATCATTTTGAGAAACATTAATAGCAGAACCACTTTGTATGCCTACTACATTACCAACTGAAGATTTTGGAGCAAGAGATGGTGGCTTCAATTCAAGGAGGCCCATGCCGAATTCTTCATCTGTGACCCATGAAGGCTGTGGAAGACAAAAGTCAAAATACTAATAACAGTAATTAATATTAAGAGTGCTTCATTTTTAGAAGCTAAGCATGCAATGAATATTACAACACACCTTTCTAGCAGCTAAAGCGGCAGCAACACCTGTCGCCAACACCTTGAGATCTTCTCTCTCGTCACCTTTGATCTTACTGACCTGCATGGGACATAGCAACGGAATGTAATACCATCACAAATAGAACCCAAATAAAGGATGGTCATTCAAAAAATTCTTACCCGTTTTTCAAGGTTGATTCCACTCTTTCTAGTAACTGGGAAAACACTTGAAATTCTTGTCAGCATTATGAGGGCATTTCGAATTTCCATATACTCAGTTGATTCCAGGCACTGAATCAACAAGCGTGTAATTCTCTGACTCCATTTCCAGTGTACCTAATACCAATGAAACCAAACAATCACATTAGATAAAGAAAACAGAATGGATTAGATGTCGTCATTACAAGCAGGAGCCATCATATGAATTGGAAGGGAAACCATGAATCAATTTGATGATGCAATAACATTACACAGAATTTAGTTTGTGGCGGGGTATTCAATCAAAACTTGGCTCATCTTCATATAAAAGTAAATAGAAGTAAAAATAACATTACACAAATGAAACCACTGGCCACGTTAGATAAAGATAAGAGAATGGATTGGGCGTCATTCCAAGAAGGAACCCATAAAGCATAAAGCTACAATAGACATTAAGTTTATAACAGAATTTATACAAAAATATCACACTAAAACGGAGTATAAGCAAATGGATCTTAGCATCAAAGCATCCAACACGAAATCTTGCTTTTTTCTTTATGTACATACAAATAAGTATATGCCCATTGTTTAAGTGACGAGATATCTATCAGACTTGTTAACCTAACAAGGTCCACTGGATAAAGAAAGAGATATTTTAGCCTAAAAACATATTGTTCTAATCAATGTTATTGTATCATGGTCTTTGTAGTAGATATTTACTGCAGCGCCTCGTGGCAGTAATACTGAGTGGGATTTTCACATCTGAAAAGACTCCAAGTCATACAGGCCATCAAAAGGCCCAAACAAAATTTAATCAGTGGAAGATCACATTAAAGTGCTAAAGCCCCTTGAGAAATACTGAGAGAACACGTTAAACTACTAGATGATTAACCCATAGGCCAAGTAAACAATGTAAATGAGTTAGACTTTCCATGAACTCCACCTTGATGAACTGGCCATACGTAACCCGTGGGCTATTTGGTAATCTATAATATACAGCAAAGCCTGGCATGTTTCCACATTCACGCTCATAAATTGATTCGTCACTCTGTAAACAAAGCATTTAGTCAATATAAGAATGTTGTAGCCTCAAATGTTTACGGGATATGGTTTCATATGTCAAAAAGTTATATCAGCACACCTTCCAATAGTAAGCAAGCTTCAATGTCTCGTACAAGAACCTTCCAAGTCTACCGGCTTCATATTCAGTGCAGCAGCATATCATAGGTTGCAAGAACTTGCATATAAGAATATCAATGTGGTTGACTGTGTTGAAAAATGGTGTTCCAAGTGAATGGAGAGTGTGTACAAATACAGCACAATAGACAGCATCTGGCATACTGAAAGTACAGCGGGGGAAAATACAACGCTGAAGGAACTCCATGTTGATCTTTAAAGTATCAGGGCAGGAAGTCAACCATTTGTCCTTTTCCCGAGATAGTCTCTTACGGACAGAGGCAACATTTTCCTCGTGCTTGCGGAGCTCATTAGTTAGGCGATCAAGAGATTCTTGAATTCTTTCCTTGTCTTTCTTCCTTTTCGTAATAGCTGAACTTGAGTTATCAGAAAGCTCTTCCAGAGCTTTGAGAGCAGCATGCTGCTTGGAGATTTCTGTTTCATACCGATTTCTAGGAACATAAAGATCATAAAGAGTGAGCCCCCAGAAAGTAGTATAGAGGCCAGGGGAAAGGCTATTCCAAGCTTTTGATGGCAACATGGTTTTAACTGTATTCAGAAGATCAGACCACCTGCAGAGAATGACATGCACATTAAAATAGAAAGCAAAACTCTGACATCCTTTTACACTGCGTACTCGGAATAGAAATCATAAGATATCAATGAATTGAACAGTGCATAATTTTGTGTCAGGTAATGCAAGCAAGAACAAGGATACGTAAAAGGAAATGATAGTTGCACATAAATATAGCTTAACCACACACGTTGAAAAATGAGTCAAATACACACAAAATAAATAAATAAACTCGCGCAAACTTCTGTTTCCAATGCATTAGATTAAATGGATAAACAGAGATTAAAAGCATTACGCTATGGGCCCTCGAGGAGAGCCAAGGTCCAAAACCACATCATCAGAGTGCTCAGCAGTTTCAGAATCTGAATTTGCAGTTGCAACACTGGATGAATCATTGCTGTCTAAAGGCCATAAGAGATCAGAACTCCCCGGGATCTTGAACAGTCTCATTACAGGGCGATAAATTAAGAAAGCAACCTATGCAAACACGCAGAATTATACTATTAAAAGGATATTCAGCTAATAAATATATTTAACTCACTGTAAAATTGCAGCAGCAGCAGTAGCAACAACGAATAAACAAAAGCATTTTAAAAAAATATTTCAGAAACTGCATGACAAAGGAACAAAAAAAAATTTCCTAGCATAATATATGCATGTATTGAACAGTACCAGAAATGGAGCCAAACGAGCAGATTAAGTATCAAGTTAAGTAGGAAGAATATCAACAAATAATTGAACTCAAGCATTGAGATAGCAGAAAGACCTCGTGATCAAGGTGGTATTGATGGACAAGATCATCAAGTGAGGGAATCAACTGAGCATAAGCTGATGCTGGTGTCACAGAACTGCAAAGGAACTCCACATACTGAAGAAGCGTTCCATGAACACGATCAAATTGCTCACTAACCATCTTAATGTAAGGTGCATCTGCATTTATTACAACCCTGCAGAAAATAATAAAAATAAGTATGCACGTCCCTTTTTTCATAAGGAAACTTCCTTATATTGAAATGGCTAAAATACACGGAAAAGGATAAGATATCCTCTAGAGATAAAATCATAAAACATAAAAAAACGGAGAGAGAGAGAGAGAGCAGGGGGGGAAAAAAAAAACAGCAAATAACACTTCCCCCAAGAATAATAAAAAAATTGAGACAAATCTAGTGACCGATCACAGCTCTCCAACTAAGTACAATCAGGTAAAAGGGAAAATCTTTGAATGCTTTATCCGTTGAGGCCCACAGAAAAGCTGAAAACTTTGCCTTCACAAAAAAGTATGTCAAATCCGAGTCCTTATCTTCAATAGTACTCTGGCCACCTTATTACCATACATTTCCATAGTACTCTGGCCACCTTATTACCACCAAACACTGCCTTAGACTCCAAGGTTACTGGTTTACACTGAGCAGGGAATGCCCGCTGGAAACCAGCTTCATTCAACAACCTATTCCACATCTTTCCAGCTGCCTTATGGTGCAAGAATAGGTGATCTATTGTTCCCCCCACAATCTGTTAGATGCCAAAAGTTCCACATGGAAGAAATATAAGATGGATAATGGATTTATAAGTCGGTTTTGCAAGGGTGAGTTCTACTCGATGGGGTTTGTAACAATTGGTATCATAGCTAGTCCACCATGTCGCGGTCAAGTCAAAATAATTGTGTTATACGCTGGATTAAGATGCACCGTTGAATCCGTCAAAGCATTGAATACTGATAGTCAAGAGAAGCCGCCAAAGAGAAAAGGCCTACCGCTGGGTCCTTTTGGATAATGTAGAACGCCACTGATTTAGGCCTATGGGTGGTGGATGGTTACAGACTATCATGTGTATGGGATCACACGTAGTATTGGCTATGGTTCTCTAACTGTCACCTGCAATGGGGCAACTTGGGAAGGGCTACTGCCCAATAGAAGGTGGATCCGCAAAGTCACCTAGCTGGGAAGACGGGCCGCTGTGGACAGCGTTTGCGGAGCGTGATGGAATGTTAATTACAGGAAAGTCCCACATGAAAGAAATATAATAGTTCCTCAGCACTTGGGTCCCCTCCCTTTGCAAGCCGGCTTTGCAAGGGTGAGTTCTACTCGTTGGGTTTGTAACACAATCCTACACAAAACACACCAGAATGGAGGAAAAACCAACTGAGGAATCACTAGGAAGAAAAGATTGATTTCAAGAAAATCTCGAGGAATCACTAGACCAGAACCTAGTATCAGGGAAGAAAAGAATGATTTCAAGAAAATCCAAAGAAATCACTAGACTAAATCCTAGTATCAGGAAGAAAAGGAGTCCAAAAAATCCGAGGGAGAGAACTCAACTCCTCCACTTCCCTATAATTGAGATTTCACCAATGCCAAAATTCAAGGTGACCAAATTTGTTCTGTGAGACGAATATGAGCATTAGATGCAGAAGGATAATCAGATAATCTAAACAAGTGAGTATAAGCAATAGTGAAATATTGTTCACCACACCACATCCTTACAAAAACGAAATCTATTTCCTGACCCCACTCCCCATTCAATTTTCTTAAGAGAAGTATTTATCCCTTGAGATATAAACTTCCACGTATTTCTATAGAAGCTTCTAGTTCCTAAATTTGAATCTCAACCATTCAGATGTAGTCCGTACTTACTCTTGATTAACTGTTGCCCACAAGGAATGTTCTTCCAAAGGGAACCACCATAATCCTTTCCCCAGCATGCCTCATTTTTAATCTCAAATTATCAAAAGAAATAACAATTGAAATAAGATTGTATTTATGAACTTGGAGAAAAAAGCAACCAGCAGTTTGCAGTTTTGGATTCTGGCCAAAAGGGGGCAAGTGGTTGACCAGACAATGTCAGATAGCTACTTCAATCGCTCATTTGTAAATGAAGTTAGACAACTTACAAAGAACGATGCTGAGCAATAAGTAACAACAGTGGGATTGCCGGCTTGGGTTCATCCTTTGGAAGTAATGAGTCCCGTAGTCTGTTTGTAGACTTGACCAATGCCTGGTAACAAAACAACATAATAAATTAATATCTTCACACCCACCATATCAAAGATAATAAAATTATCAAGGCTTTAAACACCACTAATACATTACTAGGAAACTAAAAGGTCTTTTTTGAACTCAAAAAGTTTTAAGGAGCACACAACAATATTACAAAGAAAGAAAAAGCTAAAAAAAAAAAGAAAATCTAAAAATAGGTGGTCTCACAATTTAAAAACCTTCACGAGATGATCAGTACACATTCTGCAATACTCTAAATCAGTCTAATGAAACGTAACCCTGTTGCTCATGTTATCAAACGTGGACATGGTTTGCATGATACAGGCCCAATAAAGATTTTGTATGCTTTCTCCGTTTTCTTTTGGGTTTTGTTGGCATGTAGCTTTAACCATATTTACAAACAAATAGAATCTGAATAACGAAAATGTTATTTTCTCCTTGGAAAGCATACTAACTACACGTGCTTAATTATCGACAAAATGACCCCCAAAAAAAAATCAAGACCTTGTTATTTCGCAACACGCCAAAAGAGGTTGCCTGATACCGCAGAGTCTCGCTCCCGGCCATAGCATCTAGCTGTTCTTCAGTTAGTTGCTCCGTGTACTGGACATTTGCCATTTGTTGAATAAGCTCCTGATATAGAATAAGCAAACTCCATTAACAGTTGCCATATCACAGAAAGTGGAATGACCTCTGAATCAGAAAATTACCTGCAGAAGAACAAGTTCAATCCCTATCCCCTTTTTCAACTGATTCACAAGATATTGGAAAAGGCCCCTCAGTTCCATTGATGGGTATTTCTTACACCTGAAGCAATTAAATATTAGAGGCTGTGCGCCCAAAGCTAAAAGTATGTATACTATGTTATTCAATGCACAGGATACATAAGATGACAATATACATTTCATAGCATATATCCACACAATTAACCACTAGATTAGAAATCTAAACTCCAAAATAAAAAATACAAAAAAAAAGACGGAAGAAAAAACAAAACTCCTCCTAAGCCAATGCCACAATAAGTACAGCAATCAACATTCAAGACATTATAAATAATTCAATAATCACTATGCACAAAATTTTTTCCCAACATAATAAAATCGGATTAACTACCCAAGGTTGTCAGATTTAAAAGAAAAGATACATAAGACTTGGAATGAGCAGTCGTCAAAGAATATTGAGAGCTTAACAGAAAAAAAAAAAAAGAAGAAGAAGAAGAAGAAGAAGAAGAAGAAGAAGAAGAAGAAGAAGAAGAAGAAGAAAAAGAAACAGTACTTCATTAAAACAAGCAAACAGAGTACTGAAGTACAAGGCAAGGAGGACAGGATGCCACCTGAATAAAAAAATAAACAGAAAAAGAAATAGAGAGAGAAATCATAAGCGATGAATAAGCGACAATAACAATTGTCATTCCCTAACCAAATCAGAAAACTGCAGGTGGCTAGAATCACTATCTTCATGCAAAACTGCAGCCCAGAATTTCACTTGATCTCATACTTTACTCACACATCCTTTTAAACCCTCATAAAAATTCAAACTCAAAATCTATGATGAACTAGAAAGCCAGATTTCCAAGCTCAGCCCAAAGTTAACAACAAAAATATTCCATTTAGGCATCTACAAAGTTATACGCCCAAATTAGGAAAAAATAATTAAGGGAATGGTGATGAACATAATTTTTTTTTTTTTTTAAAAGGACTACTTCATAGATGTGCTAAATACCACATGTGGACATGCATGGTCATAAACAGAAAGGGACATGAAATGCAAAATCCACTCAGACCAACCAGCACATTATGGGACAGAACAAATATCGTAACGATTTGGTCAACATATACTGCCACATGTTGTGTACAATTTAAACAGGCCAAAAATACCCGATAGAAGATCAAACAGAAACTTTAGCTCCAATAGTCTGTAGTGTTGAAAGCATCTAGAGATAGTTATCCATAAATTAAAAGTAAATAAACAAAGAAGACTTCCCAGATTCCTTGTAAAAGCATTAAAAGAAACAACTCTGAATGATAAAATGCAAACAAAAATGTTAAATTTATTTCTGAACAGCCACATAATAACATCAGCCTACGACCTAAAAAGTTCGTAATGATTTTACAGATTTTCGAAATGAAGATAATCACCCTACATAAGTACAAAAACATGACTACCTATCATCGATTGGAAACGTAAAATGTAATCTAGCAGTACAATCAAGCTCTATTATCTGAAGGAGAAAAACCTCCCATACAAGATGAAAATCCCCAGAAACCTTGAGAACAGCCAGAGATGAAGCTCATAAAAGCAAGGCAGCCACAAACTTCTGATCGTGCCCTCCCTTAGGCTATGGCCTAAGAGTTCCACTGCAATGACCTTCTGTGTCTCAGCTAATTAAGAACGAGGGTATCCATAGAAATCTTTATTATAAAGACAAACTACATCAAACACTCATGGATTGTACAATCAAGAAGAACCCATGATATCCTCAGCTAACATAACTTTGATCTCAGATTTCTCAAACAGCGATAGAATCAAGTAAAAAATTATGTTAGTTGAGGACCCTTCTTTTGTTGAAGTATACACCATTCAGTTACAATTAGGGAGTCCTCCATCTTCTACAGACCAATCTATGAATAAATGGACTGAACCAATACAGATGTCCACGATTTATCAACAGCACAAGTTGAGGAAGAACTAAAGAAGAATTGCTACCAGAAAACACACCAACTAGAATGACCGTCACACATAATCTTGAATGCACGGGAAAAGTCCCTTCTATCTTCAGAACCCACTTAATGCTAGGCTTTTCACAGCAGGAACAGAATAAGACAGGAACACCAATTTATAAATCTATAGAATTCAGCTTTACATAAGTATCAAGTTGCATAGCTCCTTTGTTATGAAGGTTTACTTTGTAGACACACGTTCCAATCCCTTGTCCAAAATATTAACAAGAATCCACAACACTTTTCTTATTCTACGATTCCATATGCAAAAGTCCACTGAAAAACTTAATCTTGTATCCTCCACATTATTCACATTCAACTTAATTCCTTTGCAAATATTTGATCGAGAAGGATAAAGCACCAATCTCCATACAATAGAAGTCATTTTCCTTGAGATATCTTTGATCCTACAAGACCAACTTTCATCCCATGAATCCCGGAACAAAGCAAAAGAAAAGTGCCTTTGTCACCCTTCTAAATCTCCTATGGGACTTGAAAACAGAGAATGAAAACTCATCAAATCTTAGTACTGCCTTCCTCCTGACTGCTCTGATTGATTTCATTCTAAGCACTCAAACACTCTGGGCAACTGGCATAAAATTTCCCCAATACGAGCCTTTCAGTATTTTAAATGCCTGCAACTGGCAAGCCAAGTTGTAAAAATTGATCTGATGGTGCAAAACAGAGCCACGAAAAATTCTTCAAAACCCAAACCATGCTGGCTCTATCTGCAACCCGGAAACTGAAGTGAAGAATCCCAAGACATATCTAGATTTATACGCGGGCTTAAGTATCATATATGACTGATATTTTCACACAACACTAGGAGGAAAAACCAACTAATAATCAGGGAGAAAGAACAGACAAATATATACACATAGGGCTATGAGGCCTAATCATTTTTCTCCAATAAACTTTAAAAAGAAAAAATAAACAAAAACAAAAACAAAATAAAAACAAAAAGAAAAAGAAATCCCTACAACTTAGGCTCATGCACTGGCAGGCAATATCTATACTAATCTATATATCAAATATATATACACACACACACTAATCTCCTACCATAAGAAACGACTTAAATTCATTAAGAGTATATTATAACATGATGTTGAAGAAGTAAAAGGCTAAAAGACAAACTTAAAAGACGTAGCATAACATGATAGAGATGAGTAAAACATTAGAAGCAATAATCAAACACATACAGGTGTTTTAGCAACAACAAAAAAAAAAACACACATACAGGTGACCCCAAAATGAAGCCAAGGATTGAAGCCAGTCTGACAGATTAAGGCCATCATCTTTGAGCTTATCACGTCCCCCTTGTGCCAAACGTTCAATCACAACATATTCCAATATATCGTACTCAAGCTGGACAGAAAAGCATGTAGTTAAGGTCAACCATGAATGCCACATAACATACTATGCAAGACATTGAGCGTCTATTAGGTAGAAAGAGAATTTGGCTTCAGGATGCGCATAATACTTCTATAAAATAAAATAAATATCCCTATCTCTTCGTTGCTTTAAGTTGGAGGATATTTCGTATTTACCAAGTTTTCTCTTATACTTGAGGACTCCTAGTCCTTTTTTAAACTATATCTGTTCGTTTCCTTTTTAAAAATAAATGTATTTATGTCTCTTATCAAAATTCAAAAGATTGAGAACAATATTAATAACAGCCAATAGAGATTAGAACAGCCATGGCAAATGCTTCGGAATGATGCAGAAGAAAAATACACACCTGGGTAAGATACTTAAATGCATCTACAACAGGAGTTATCATATCTCTGTATGCCTCAATCTGCCAAAAGTTTTTTAAACAGCAATTAGAATAAATAATAAATATAAGCGCCAAATATCAAACATTTGCCTATAATAAAATGACACCTGGTGAACAATGGTCCGAAGTACAGTCATTGGATTAGCATGAGCTAATTTTGCAACCATCCGACCAAGCTGCTTTAAGTTTTCTTTGGCAAGCCGTTTCAAAATCCTTCTAGTGTCCAACTATTTGAAAGATAGTAATCAAGATAATAATGCTAATTAGGGCATAAAATATTCCAACAACAAAAAATTGAGAGAGAAATTGACATTTTGTTCTCTCATACTCTAAACACAATGACGATAATAGCTATTATCAAACCTTGGCTGTTTGCCTTGCAGCAAGAAGCATGGGCATCCTCTCATCTTCTTTTTCCCATTCACCATACAAGCGATATCGCACCTAAGCAAAAACGATTCATCTAGCAGGCGTGTCTACCATGCGAAATAAATTATCAAAGGAAAGAATAAAATCTCGCTGATGTAAAGCACACCTCATACGGAAGAAGACTCATGACTTCCCAGATTTCCTGTCCAACTGCAGGGTTTGCAGGCAACAATTGTAAAGAAGGGAGTAAACATGCTCCCAAGGCATCCTCTAACCTTGACCTTGCTTCCTTTAGATGCAGGCGAGGATCTCGATTTATGCCACTAACTGACTCAGAGTTCAGAACTGCCTGACTGCCACCTACAAGCTCAAGTGCCGACAAGTAGTACCCTCTCAACACTCGACACACCTACAGTAACAAAAGTAATGACAAAACCACCTGTGTTTACGAGGAAGACTACCAAAGAAAAAACACAATGCAGAATATAAGAAACAAGAGATTGCACCTTCTGCAACAATAAAGTATCACGGTAAAGATAAGGTCCAGCAGAAGAAAGCATCTGAAAAAGCTCTTTAGGGAGATCTATAAAAGATCCATTGGCTGAGGAAGTTTCTGTATCCATTGCATCAACACTGGCTCCAGAAGAACCAGATTTTTGGAGATGGGCTTGATGAATAGTGTTATATATTGAAGAGATTAATTTTTCAATGAGCCTGAAAAGAAGCACCATATAAATTTTGAAAGTGAAGTCGATGCTTTTGACATACTCACAAATACGATGGCCAGATAACAGGGTAAGGCAAAATCTTACTCAACTAAATTTGGAAACCTTTTTTATTGTGCAAAAAACAAATGGAAAAAAAAGGATCATGCCTTTGATTTACCTAAACAAGCTGTTACAGATTTGTAAATGCTCCACTGGATTTAGAGGTGAGAGACAATCAAAAAGCAAATTTGCATGGTACCTGGAAACAAAAAGTTCAACAGACAGCATGTTATAGATTAGATATAATGATAATAACTAGAAAGGCACGACAAATTCATGGTAATATACACAAAGATCATAAATAAACCCAACATCCTAACATGTATATGAATGAAAAACAGAAAAAGAGGGTCCATCCTTCAATGAACAATGGATAAAGGTTTGGTTTTGTATTTCATTTTCTCATTCCATCTGATGGTAAACAACTTTTTGTAATATTGCAGGCAGCAGTTGCAATATTTTTTTTTTTATAAGAAAAGAACCTTTATTAATCACAAAAACAGGAACAAAGGATAATATAAACTGCAATGTACTAAAATGAGAGGAATATACATCATTTCACAAAGGCAATCCCCACCAGGATTTCTCATGCAAGGGAAGTAGGAGAAACCCATATAGAATTATAAACAAAATGCCAAAAATCATGATTTATCGCCACAGAAAAAAAAAAAAGAAAAAAGAAAGAAAGAAAGAGGAAAAAAATGCAACTCACATTGAGATTTCATTACATAAAATAAAGACAAAAATGAAAAAGAGAATGGGGGGAGGCAGAGAAGAAAGATCAATAACAGGTCAGAAGGAACAAATTCCCAGCCACGATAAATCAAGTTTGTGGAAGTTATTTTGCTCAAAACGATAATTCAAACTTAATACATGATAGAACAATACTTTCAGCAAGAATAAAATAATAATTTAAAGAAAAAATCATAGAACAATATCAAACAAAATACAGCTGTTGACTCTGCGCCAGTGCCAGTGACATTCTGTCATTAAAGCCATCCCAAAACAATAGAATGCCCATACTTCAATGACCAGAATAAAATAAATAAATAAATAAACAACCACGTGAAGATAACAACTGACAATAATCTGAAAGTAAATATTCAAACAACAGAACCTACCAGTCATCCACAGAAAGGAAGCCAGTGAGCAAGCCCAAAATTTGATTATTCGCAAGCTCTTCAGACCGTTCAGCCACCGCCTCAGTTTCCATGTCTAAAGCAGTGAAAAGATCTATGGTCACATCTCCTTGTCCTTGTTTCTCATCATCCATTAGATCTTTCCCCGTAGCAGCAAGATTTATTTTCCCAATCTTTCTAGCCTGTCAGAGTGGACAGAAAAGCCCAAGTTTAAAAGTTTCATTGTCACTACAATTAACCTTAAGGTAATAAGATGACTCCAAATCATTTGTCGAATAAGCAGCAAAAATAAACAAATGGAAACAGTGATTAAAAAATCACAAAATCGAAAATTAATTAAGATTATAAAAAATGGGGGGAAAGACACCTGTAGCGTTCAACTAGGAGCACTAACAATCCTAAAACAAATAAACTATTTTGTGGAGCAGTACAAGACTCAAGTCTCCAACTAAAAACCATCCAGAGAAGTTACCACACCAGCAAAATTCATTACGAGATCATATGCAAAAAAAACAAGATGGCGCTTTGATCCTTTCATCGTAAATACCTCATCAAGTCGCTTAGAAGATAATGCATTATAATGCTCAAATGCCTCATCATCCTTCGGAAGTAAATGTGCATATCTGTAACAAGAAAAAGGAACCTCATGTTTTACCAAGAAGAAATACCAGCAGATATGGAAATGGAATAAATTCTTATTACACTTCTAGTAACGAACATCATGCAATAATGTTAGGATCCGTTAATGACTTGGGAACTTGTTTGGTTAGTGGGCTGGTATAGTTAGTATGAATTAGTATAAATAAATGGCTTAGTAGCTCACTAGAGGTATGTTGTGATTTTGAGAGTTTTGGGAAACCAAGATTAGGGAGAGCGGTGGTCTCTCGAATACCACCAAATTAGGAGTTCCCGGAGTATCTCGAATTCTCCGTTCTATCCTTTACATTTCAGTGTAATTTGGTGTTCTTGGCTGATTAGATTAATAAAATTCCCCCCGATTATTCTCACTTTCTTGCTGTTTCTGGTGTGTGTGAGTGTGATATTGGTGTTTGGCTGATTTTCGGAGCTAGGTTCCTAACAAATAATTCTTGTCGAAGCTTGGAGATTCAAATCGCATATTGGACCAATCATCAATTAAAAAAAAATCTCAAGCAATAAGTAATGTGCCGGGATATCTGGAAAATGAAGCGTACAAAATAATCCTCTCTATTATAAGAAAATAGCACCGTAACATATTAGAGAAACCAACCTCAACAAAATTGCAATTATAAATGAAACAAATAGTGAAACTTGGAAGTTGGAACTGAAAGAGAGACAATAATCCCAACCAAAAGCATAATAAATAACTCACATGGAGTCGAGATCTATAAAACCTTTCTGCACCAGCAAGGCTGTAAGCTTATATAATCCAAATGGTACAGGACAGTTTACTTCCAGACGCTGATAATATTGGAACTTAAAACCAAGAATTTGTGCAGCATGAGACTGCAAAACACAATTAAGTCATGAGTGAGCATAAACACCGAGTCTCTCAGTAAAAATCAACCAAGTAGTACATAAAACCTGGACGAGAAGTAGATCCTTTACCTTGGGAAATATTGGAATTAGCTCCAAAAAGATTTTATTGTCTGGCTGAAGCTCAAAACATTCTAATACCTAGTTAAAGAAAACAAAGCATAATTCAGAAAGCACTCACTAGATTCGTTTGAAACACAACCAAAACAGAAAATAGTAAAGCAACAAAATAATAAATGAAACGAGAACTTACAATGTCAAAGACACGATTTGGATCCAGGTCAAAATGTCCAATTAATGACTGCAGTGATCATTCTAGTCAGGAAAACATATACATGAAGACAGAGTACGCTGAATAAAATAAGTCAGAGTAAAAACCTTAATTATGCCAATTGTTGCTCCTGATACGCTGCACGATGGAGATTCCGTGTTTCCACAAAGAAGGGTAACCTATGCCAAAAAGGGGAAAAAGGTGAAATACAAGAAATTGAAAATATTCCAAAACCAATCACGTGCTCCAACCATTAAAAAGCCCTAAATATTCTATTGGAAGTGCAAAGACAAGATAAATCCCACCATAGTGCAATAAAACAAACATGAAGGGAAACAAGGTATAAAACTATGCACTATACTGATTTACATCACTGAAGTAAATCTATAATGAACATACTTCCAAAAAGAAATTTCAAATTTATGGGCTTACCAACTTCGCATACCCTTCACTCTCTTCTCTGAGAAGATTAAATTTAGTTTGCTGATAAAGAAGACGGGTGTTTACTCTAACCTGAAAGCAACAGTACACGTCCATCAAATGCAGGTTGCATCAAACATCAAATCGTCAAAATATCAGAAAATCGAGTTGAGATTAGTCTAACTCATCATTTTTAACTTTTATACGTTATTGAAGTGAAAAGTCAGGCATTTTATACTATGGTAGCTCTACATTTGCCATGAAAAAACAGACTGCTTCATTTTCTAACCAAAAAGAAAAGAATGATTCGTGTAAACTTCCTTACGCTAATCACGTGTTCAGTCTTCTAATCAATTCTTCCATTTTTGGTCGAAGTTCTGCATGATATCACGACACAGATACTAGACTAGTAATCTTACCTCTTTACTTTTTAACTCTTGAGCCTTTATCTTTATCATTTCAGCCTCCGCCAGAAACTCTTCCTATAATCATAAAGTGCCACATTTTTCAGTACTAGCTTTCTCCAATATGGAAAAGAGAAGAGTTTAACAGCAACAAGAAAGCAGCCAAGAGCACATCAATATAAATATAAATACATATAGAAAAAATTAAAACAGAAGTCACCTCACAGCGCTCCTGCAGAAGCCTCAACGGAACCAAGCCAGACTCCACCAGCCATTTTGCCTGAATTGGAGGAACAAGACTAAATAATAAGTAGATGCAACAGACAGAAAGCAAGAGTGTGACAAAATAAAAGAAAAGTAAAATCCAGGTCCAATGAGGACAGAGTTCTCCGTAATGTTAACATTTACCAATGATAAAACTATTAAGATGGACGTTTGAGAAAAGAAAAAGGATAAAGATAAATATGTCAATGAATGGGGCAACATGTTTACACTAATTCTACAAGAACACAGTGTACAGTGACTTGATTATCAGAAGAAGAAGAAGGAGATTTAGAAGCAGCAGCTCAGTTGAAGAGAAAGACAAAGCAAGTCCCTTTCCATGCCTCACATATGAGTAAAGTTTGCCATCATGGTACCACATGTGGAGCAAAGTGAGTAATAGTCAAGCTAACTTGATTGGGATTAGGCTCTTGCAAAATAGCAAACAATTGCCTATACATTACCCAAACTGCAAACAAAGTTTATTGAAGAATTTCATCAGAAAACAGCGGCTGCATACATTTGTATAGTTCCCAATCCAGAATTGCCGAGAAAGATTAAACTCAATTATCACAAAACAGCATCTGAACACATTTTTACAGTTCCCAATCCAGAATTGCGGAGAAAGATTAAACTCAATCATGGTAGCATGAAATTCAAAGCTTCTCATCAAAACAACCAACATCAAAAAATTTAACTAATACGTCAAAGGGTTAATGGATAGCCCCAAAAGTCATAGAACTCTCAAAAATTTAAAATGCATACTCACCAACTTTAAAAGACGAGCACGATACTCTCCAGGCATTGTAAGCTGCAAATTAAGTGAATGGGATGAATAGCAGAAGTAAATACTACAGTAGCTAAAGATTATATCAAATTTATGCTGACTAAGAAGTCAGCATATGCCATAAATTCAAGCAAGGGAGACTCTGTACCTTTCTTTATAATCAAGGACATATGGAACAATAAAGAAATTTAGACGAGAACACCAATAAAATCTTACTTGCTGTAGTTGGTCTTTTCATGTGAACTGCATAATAAGAGACCTTACATGGTGTTTTACAACTTCTCAAAAGTTCAACAAGAATATTTTATTATTTTCGGTACACTTGTTAGTCATCCCAGGGTGGATGACTATACTACTAAAAAAACAAAAAACAGTATAAAAAAATAAAATGCAAGTGCTCCAATTTACGGTCTCTAAAGCCATTTTTCTATGATCAAAACCTTGTTTTATCAGTTTATCTTTTTCCTCTTTGGTTTTCAATGGCAATTCAACTTGTTTGCCCGCAAACCAAGAATGTGTCAACCTTTTCTCCTTGTAACAGCAAGGAAACACTATGGGCAACATATTGAGTGAACCTGCAGCATATGCACTTTACTACAAGAAAACGAAGCTAGTAAAGAGTAAACCGCACTTCTAGATTAGACTATGAGTGTGTTTGGGATTGCTTTTACAACTCCTAAAAGCACTTTGCACAAGAACCTATGCAACTATAGTGTTTGGTTAAAAGGTTGAAAAGCACTTTGCACAAAGACCAATGCACTTTTTTAAGTTATTTGGAGAAGTTGGAATTTGTAGCTTTTAGATTCTATTTTTGCTTCTAACTTTTACTTTAAGTAAAAGTAGAGATTCTCTTAAAAGCACTACAATCCTAAACTCACCCTATAACATCCGACTAAAGCACGACCAAAACACCAATTTCAAGTGAGAACCTATTGATCTAATTTTACTCCTTCATTTATTGATATATTGATGTAGGAGAGAGAGAGAGAGAGAGAGTGAAAAAGCTAAGAGGAATTTAGGAAGAAGAGAAACAATTTCAAGGAAATCTATGTATACAACAGTACACTTCAATGTCTCAAGTGAAAACAATCACCAGGTCTTTTTTTTAATAAGGTTTGGGGCCTATGACTCCCACTTTACTAACAAGATATTAAACCATCAGGATTCAAACCCCGGTGACTCACGCACCCAACCACTTGGCCTAAGGCGACAAATCACCGGGTCTATTTATAACCTACTAAACCCTAATAATAAGATAAGCACAACATAATAACAAAATAAACTTAAATAAATCCTAAATAATCTTAATCTTAATAAATAGATAAACATATATATTAAATTCCCAGTAAATCGCCAACATCTATATCGTCCCTCATCTATAGAAAGCATTTAGTAACCTGAATAAGCTACATTACTTCTACGCATAGTTACTATAAGTTCTGCTCGTTTCTATTCATTTCTACCATGATATGAACTGCACAACTCCAAAATCCAAAAACTTATGTTGAATTCAATCTTCTTCATCAACAAAACGAACTAAACACAACTCTTGACTGTAAAATGACAAAAGGAATTAACAACAAGCACAATAAACAGTGACGGAAAATAACGAAAGCTCACATCTTGCGCCATTTGAGTAACGATATCTGCAAAACCGGAACCCAACTCCCCGCCGGAAACTCTTTCGGAGAACACAACCGAATTCAACGCCACTTTAGACTTCGGAAATGGCAACTCTCCTCGAACCTATCAATGAAAAACGAACACGAATCAACTCAAATCCCTAGAAAAGAAGGAAAAAATCATTCAAACACAATATTGATTCTACAAACTATCGAATTCGAAGGAAATTCGAGAAATTGCGAGCGAACCATGACGGAGCAGAGCTCGTAGAGAAAGCGGAGCATGGGAACGGGGCCGGCGAGCCTGAAGCTAGAGTTTCCGTTCCTCCATTCGCGGAGGGGCTCCTCTGTAACGAACGCACACTCTACGGGAAGGAGAGACATTGTAGAGAGAGAAAGAGAGAGTAGAGTTGTTACAGAGGTTAGAATTGAAGATTAGGGTTGAGATGGATTATAGAGATATCTCAGTTAGGAATTGGAGGAATTTTCATGGATTGAGGGAGAGGGATTTCTGGGAAACTAGGGTTTCAGTCGGGAGAAGAAGATTTTGAAGGAAGCTCTTCTCTTCTCTGCACTGGTTAAGGGGTTTGGGAAGGAAACGGGGACGGTATCTCTTCCTGGCTGCAATTGCTACTGCAGACGGGCTATGGGAGAGGGTGCTCGGGCTTTGCAGTGAAGTTGGGCTTCTGGCCCATTTAAGAAGCCCATCAATATTACAGAATTTGCTAGGAAACTTTACAAGAAAAAGTAGAGTGAAAATTGTGATGGCCACTAATTTAAATTTAAAATTTAAGTTTTATTATAGTAAAAAAATTTTAAAAATAGTCATATTTAATTTTTTTATTACAGTAAAAAGTTCTCATATAAAATTACATTTAAATTTAAATTAAAAACTCAAATCAGCAAACTAAACGAATATCCTTTCACTAACCTAATTATTTTACTAAAAAGAGTATTAATCAAGAGTAAATGGTAAAAATTTATATTTATACACTTTAAGAGATATTTATCTTTTTTTCCTTATAAAGTTATAAAATACCACAGATCTAGAGCTTGGATTGACTTATGTTCAAAAGAAATTGCAAATAGTGTCATACCATGTTATTCTATTACATTTTGAATTGCCAAATATATCCTTAAGACGCTGATTATTGTCCACTGTGATACCGACTAGTTACCAGTTGATAATAGTCGGTATCCACCTTGCTATTAGTATATGGTTGTGATACCGTCCGCTATTTCGCTGCAATACTGGTCGATAATTGCGAGTACCGGCGGCATCACAACCGTCTTTGTAGTCGTTGTCAAAAAACTTAAATATTACAAACAAACAAAAAAATTAGAGAAATCTTACAAAAATTACATAATCACTAAACTAACAAAAATTTGGATTTAAAAAAAATAATAATAAGAGCAAGAGGTTCGGATCTCCTTCCTCAACTCCATGGGCCATGGTATGTAGTGGAGTTGAAAACACCTACTTTATTTTGCCACATGGCAGAAAAATCGATAGTTTTTTCCAACTCCGTCAAAACTCAATCCCCGCCTATTTTTTTATGTTATAATGCATAAATATCTCCATTTGCTAAGTAGCTATTTTGGGCTTTTTTGTTCGATAATTTTTTTAAGGAAAAAAATACACGGTTTGCCATTATTTTAAGTGAAAAATGCATGATTTATCACGGTTTTTACATATTTATTATTTATATCATCTAAATAATTGTCTTTTATTTTCTTTTTATTAATTAAATAAGTCTCTTTCCTTATTTGTCTCTTTCTCGATCTCTCTCTACCCGTCTCACTCTCTCTCTTCCAAATTTCTCCATGTCCTTACCTCTCTCTCTCTTTCTTTGACAAACATACCGAGATAAAAATAATAATAATAAAAAAAAGCGTCATCAATAGCGAGAATCGACCATTGATGAAAGAGGATCGTCGTGGGGAGGCTACCAACCGTTGATGGAGGCGGGATCTGACCTTCGAACGGCAAAATCTGCCACGGCGGCCTTCAAACGGTGAAGAGAGATCCAGGCACGGCAGTGCCGCCTGGATTATACTTATGCAACTTTACTACGAAAATTGAGCGAGCAAATGAAAAGAAAGTGGACAACAAACGAGAGATTAACCACTGCAAACTTCTATCTACAACTCCCCATGATTCTTTGCAACTTTACCTAGAAAATTGAGTGAGAAAACGTATAGAAAGTAGACAGCTTTGGTCGTGAACAAACACGAAGAATCACCTGGTCGAGATCTTCGTGCGAGATAGAGAAAGATAATTTGTATTAAAAAAAAAAAGTCCGTTGTAGATTTTTGTTGTGAAAAATAAATATTTAGTAGACTACGAAAATAACTTATAGAATATGAAAAATAACTTATTATAGTATAAAAAATAATCTATATAATATGAAAGATAATTTATCAGAGTAAGAAAAATAATCTACTACACTATTTTTTTAGTGGCATACATAATAAATTTAAATTTTAAAACATAAATAAAATGGTGTTATTTTTTATGATATTTTTTAACATTTTCCCTCTTTGAAGAATGTTGCAAGGACTTTGGATTTACATGAGGGATATTTTGAGTTTTAGATTTGTGTCACACAAATAGATTAATTAAGGAGACGTTTGCTTCATAACTTAGAATCATGATATTAGAATAATTTTTTATTTACGTGTATTTTTTATAAGAAAAAACACTGTAACGAATCATGAATTATAATTCAAATCATAGTATAAATTCTCTAACCAAACGTCTCCTAAATATAAACAAAATAAGACTACGAATGGGATCCGTTATAGTTGGGGTTACCCTTCCTCACCACAATTTAAATAATTTATATCTATCTATAACTATATTGAGTTGGGAGGTGACTTATCCTAAAAAACTTACAAAAGTTTAAATTACTTTTTTGTTATCCATCTAAACGTTTAAAAGCATCTTTTAGACTAAATAAGTCAAATGTAGCATTTTCTTAAGCCAATCTAAATAGACTCAAAGTGTGTTTAAAGAGTGCGTTAGTGAGTGTATATTATTATATGTATCTATACATATATAACTTTCAAAAAGCACTATTCAATGCATGGTATTTTCAATCGAAACAGCGTTTTAGTTGAAACCATCGTTTTGGTCGAGTTTTTTTTTCTTTTTCGCTTTTGATTTTTTTTTTTTTTTCGCTTTTGATTTTGTTCTAACCATCTTTTCTTGTTTTTTTCAATAATTTTATATTTTTCGTTCTTATCATTTTTAAACTTTTTTCTTTCATTTATTAAGATTAATTTTTTTATACAAATGTTATCTTATTCAGATATTTTTTTGGTAGTGCTTAAAATTTATTTTATTTCTTAATTTAGTCCTTTTTTAACGTTTTTTTAATTTTTGTCCTAAAATTTTATTTGCTTTCTATTTTGATTTTTTTTACCCTAAAATTTATTTATTCATTCATTTTTGTACTTTTTTACCCTTTTTTATTTTTCATTGAATCTTTATTTTTTCATTTTAGTTCCTTTTGCCCTATAACTTATTTACTTCTTCATTTTAGTCTTTTTTTACCATTTTAACCCTGAAATTTTAATTTTTTCGTTTTAATTCCTTTCGTCTTAAAACTAATTTATTTATTTTCTCAGTCCTTTTGACACCCTTTTTTATTTTTGCCTTGAAATTTAATCTTTTTTTAGTCTATTTTGTCTTAAAACTTATTATTTTCTTTATTTTAGTCATTTTCTGTCCTTTTTTTAAATTTTTGTCTTGAAATTTTATTTATTTTTTTTGTTTTGGTTCATTTTATCTTAAAATTGATAAATGGATTATTCTCTATGTATGTAGAGTTCAACTAGTATATACATATATTAAATTAACATATATGTTTTGAGTAGTGAGTATATCTTAATATGCATTGTTAGTCAAATAAATTATTGTCACAGCTACCCATTTCCATGTTCATATTTTCTTCGGTCATTTCTTTTAGTTATATGATGATTACCTCTGAATTTCTAGCATGTGAGTTAGAAGGAAGACTATAAATTAAGTATTGCTTTTCTAGATGTTGAAAAAAAAAAGCCATCACTATTGCTTGATTATAGTGCTTCTTATAATTGGAGCAATTAGTTAACAACTTAATTAAGTATTTTCCTCGTTCACACCTAAACATAGACTAATACAGTAATGCTTATAAGTAGAACTTTATAATTAATTCTGATTCATTACAAAAAAATTTCAGGGTTTTCACATTTCAAAATTAGGGAATAAGTATTTTTAATACAAATATAACTGTTAAAAATAAAAAATTAAGGAATAAGCATTTTTAATACAAATATAATTGTTAAAAATAAAGAAATTATGAGCAGTTTATTTTTTAATCATATTAAAAATTAAAGAAACTCCTTATATTTAATGAATTAGTTGAATTATTTTAGTTTATCTAATTCGACGAAAAACAAATGAAGAAATATCCACTTGCGAAACTATAGGAAAAATACAGCAAATAACATATTTTAAACATACTATTGTAGTTTATAGCACAGTTTTTTAATCTTGATAAATTATATCATGTTCTAAATTTTCATAGTAAAATAAAAAAATTCCAAGTTTACCCTTGCTCTTAGGGTTTTGTTTCTTTCTTTTTGTTTCACAGTCAAACTCATCCTTCGTCGATTATCCTCTCTCTCTGCGTGGCGGCGGCAATGAAGATCCGAACGACAGACGGCAGCAACAAAGATATCAGAGATTGCGTGGTTCGGCCGTCAGAGATAGCAAGTCCTGCCGCTGCTGTGTCTAGAGATCGCAAGTTGTAGCCGTTCTCCATCTCCATGTTTGGCCGTCTGAAATCGCGAGCCTGAGAGATCTGAGAAAATGTGTCGGCCAAGATCTGGCTTCTTGTGACGGTGACGGCTTGTTACGGCGACAGAAAAGGAACCCAAGTGAGTTGTTACGACCAAAGCCGTCAAGAGACCGTCGCAAACCAGATCCTGACCACAGATCTGGCACCGCCAATCGGAGAAAATCACAAAGGACGAGCTCTTTTTGCTTTTTTATTTTCTTTTCATTGTGTCTAGGCTTTGTTGATTTGTTTGTGCAGCTTTGGACGATTGTTGCAGGTGTAGAAAATTATGCTACTTTTTTTTTTTTAAGAGAAATGACGTTCTTTACTCTTTAGTTTTTAACTGGTTAACTACAGAAATTATTATATTAAATATTAAAAAATTTTATAGTATATAAATTTTTATAATACAAAAAATTTGACATAAAATGGTGCTAAAAGATAAAATTAAATTTCAAATCAATTCAAAATAGTAAAGAATTAAAATTTTAACAATAAACTAAAAATAGTTTAAAATTGTTCGGTTAAAAATTTCAATTGTTGTGATTGTAAGAGAAGCGTCTTTTTTTTTCGTTAGTCAGGGTCGACACGTGACAATCTTATAACGAAAGACAATAAAAATTCATACACATGGAAGGGAAAAGAGAATGAACAAAGGGTAAAATTGATAATGCACACTCAAAAGACAAGGGACAGAAGAGGAATTTTAAGAATGTCACTGCATAATGAATAGTAAATTATGAGTATGTGAATAGTGTACATTTCATTTCCTTTAATATACATATTTTTATTTAATTTTATTGTATTATTCTTTGTATTTTTATTTAAGTAATATAAAACATTTAGCACAAAACTGTGATAAAACATATAAAATTAAACTCTAAATAAATTCAAAATAGTAAATAACTATAATAAAGAATAAAAATTTAAAAAATAAACTGGAAATGGTTTAAAACCGTCCGATCAAAAATTTCGACTGTTGTGATTTGCGCGTGAAAAACACGCGCGAAAGAAGCGCGTTCAGCGGGGGAAGAGAGCATCTTTGCAATGGTGGGCCCCACCACTTTTTTCTTCAGCCAGCCATCGTCGACACGTGGTAATCCTAATTCAAAAGTTCAATTTCCATCTTAGAGGTTATAATTTTGAGGTCCGAATGGATAATTCATTATTTCCTAAGGTCATTGATTTTAAAAATAAAACTCTACCTGACCCGCAATTACTCAGACTTAAAGATTGGTTTGCTAGATATGACTTTTCTGTCAAACATATAAAAGGCCACCACAACCTCATTCCTGACTTCCCCCTGATCCTCATGTATACCAGCATCCACGCACCAACAATTGCACCCCAGCCTCAGACGATAAGAAGACAATACCATCCGGATGATCCGGATAGTCCGTGGGTTCTTAAGAAAAGCCCTGAAAGTTCATCCACCCAAAACCATGCACCATGCATGATGTTCTCATCGTACGATCAAGACTTCCCAGCTCTTGAAAGACATGTGAACCAGACAACTAAAGTGGTTACTAGACCATGCGTGCAGCCAACAGAAATTCAACCAGATGGAAGGACAGTTGAGCGGGTCTAGTCATTGTAGATGGAAGTGTAGTCTGACGAGGATGAGCTTGTGTTCGTTGAACCTCGCTCGTATGGCTTATCATGTGGGTACCGCACTTTATGTCTTTTTGTGGAAGGTGATATGTATTTGATGATGCTATCTGAAAGGTAGTCTGGGTCTTATGAGTATTGGAAAAGCCCATGCATAGAGAAGAGAAAAAGATAATGAAAATAGATAAAATTGACAATTTACACTCAAAGGACAAGGGACATATATTTATTTTATTGGTAAAAATTGTTATTTTAACCGTATATTCGTTTTTCATCGGTTTGATATGTGAGTCAGAGTAATTGTATATCATACATTATAAAATCTTAATGTGAGTACATATAAATTAGACTGTAAAAAAACTAATATAAAACGCATAGCTAAAATATCAGTTCTTACTAATATAGTCAAATAGAAATTCTTGCTATAAAAGTTTTCCAAAATCAAAGCAGGACAAAAAAAATCTAGAAGAATTGCAAAACATGTCCTTTGCAAAATACGTGGAATATCCGGAAAGCACCACCATAACTTTGAAATGTGGTTCATTCCATAGATCATACGCACACACAAGTAAAGGAGATGTTATTAGTCTATGGTAGTCAGATATTGACAAAATCACATTAAATTAAAAAAAATATGTAAATTAAATAATTTTTAATATAAATTTAACAATTAAAAATGTATAAAATCAATGATAATATTATTATCGTAGTAGAAAAACTCCCTATTAATAACCTCAAAAAACGTTGGTCAGAGTATGATCATTTGTGCAGTGTGCACGGAGCACTTTTTAGTTCAAGGCCGAAGTTTGATTGAAGTATATAGTAGACAAGTCTTTTAAATGTGAACTGTTGACTGCTATAGTGCTATTTACAAGACAAATTGGAACACGACCAGGTCAATTCTATTAGCCGCTTATAATCACGAACTTGAAATAACGCACTATTTTCATTGTGAAAGGAGATTCCTTTGACTTCCTCTTCTTAATTTAATTTTCTCATTTTTATCTCAAAATAATTTTTTACATCCTAATAATGAAACGATAACTTTTATGATAGGAATTATCTTACTCCCTACCGTTAAAAATTATGGTTTTAGTTTAATTATTTTTAAACAGTTTAATATTTAAATATTCACGTTAAAAATTTAGAGAGCGTGATTGAAAATCATTTTCAATCATAAATTAAACTGTTATGAAATTAATTCAGTGACTAACAAAAAATGATTTTTACCGGTAAGAAAAAGTAAAGATTAAAGGTTCGTTTGTTTGGTAAGAATTCAAAACATGATGATTCTAATTACGATTCTAAAACTAAAATCATGATACATGATTTTGAGTTCAAATCATGATTTTGAAATCATAATTCAGAATCAGAGGTTTAAATCACCTTGAATCAAGAGGGGAGGTAATTTTAAAATTATAATTTGAGCTAATTTAAAACATCACAACAGATTTTAAATCATGATTCAGAATCATTTAAATTAAACATTAATTTTAAATCATAATTTAGAATTATAATTCAAAATCATTTTAAATAAACATATTCTTAAAAAAAACGAAGAAAGAAAGAACCAATGAATATATATCCAAGTCCTAGAAGTATTTCACGCGACACGTATCTTATATTCCCAATAAATCCAGAACCAAACAAAAACGAAGAAAGAAAAGTCATTCACAGGACAACAATATAACACCATGGAACACTAGAAGGACCTTTTACAAATTAGAGAAAAAAAATAGCGTCTTAAATTAAGTTTGCAATAGTTGGTGACAACTTTGTATTCACATGGGCAGTCCTAGTTTAGACTGATCACTATTATATATATAAAGAAAAAAAAATCAAAGCTGTATAAAGACCAAGTTTTTTGTACGCCCACTCTTAGTCATCGTTTGATTTAAAAAAAAAAAAAAAAAATTAACCCACCAGTAGGTGTTTATATATTTGAACAAATAGATTTCTGTTACATTGTATCAATTTTTGCGTATCTATCTTCATTTTGATATGATTTTTTTTATCTAATCTAATAGAAAAATAATATTTATCCAGTTGGAATAAAACCTCATACTCACAAAATTGAAAGTCTCAGGATTTGTTTATTTACATCCAAACTTAAAAAGAAATTTGAAGTCAAGTTACAATTTTATTCAAGTTCATGTTTTTTTACAAAATTTGAGTTTGAACTTAAGTTCAGGAGTTCAAGTTCCCCTTTCAACTCAAGTTAATGATTAATATTTTTTTTATTCTTAAAAACGCCATAACTTTTTCGTTTTAATTTCAATTAAGATGATTTTTTTATATGCGTTCACAACAAAAAGACGAATAAAACTCCACCTCAAGTTAATGATTAATATTTTTTTTATTCTTAAAAACGCCATAACTTTTTTGTTTTAATTTCAATTAAGATGATTTTTTTATATGCGTTCACAACAAAAAGACGAATAAAACTCCACCCATAATACCCTATTAAAATTTTCATCACCATTGAATTTTTATTAAAATACTATATAAATTTAAATTTTAATTTTAACTCACCCAAATACAAACTTAAATAGATTCTTAATTAAAATCATAACTCAAAATGTGCACATCTAAATACAAACTCAAATTAGAATCACAACTCAAATCATACTCAAATATACTTTAATTCAAATCAAAATCTGAACTCAAATTACAATAATTTAAAAAATACAAATAAACAAGCTTCACTTACTCACTTAGTAGGATCCATCCCTCATGAGTAACGAGGTTTTAATTTTATAGGGATAGGAGTGCTCAATCTAATATCCAAAAATATTAAAACTGATCCACTTTTTTTCCGTTTTATTCAGCCTTAGAATTTAGAAATGAACAAAGCCTCAACCAGTGATTACTCTCTGAGTCTTATCCGACTTTGCAAAGAAAAGGACGTACATCCGAAAGAAACTTTTGTTTGTAATGCGTGTGAAGGAGAAAATTTAAAGTAAACTCAACACAAATTGCGGTGGTAAATGGTACGCGTACTATTTTGAGACTTGATATTTTTATCGGTTTGATCAATTTCTGTGAGTGCATTTGATCAACATCATATTAAATTAAAAAAATATACATAATATATAATTTTTAATACAAATTTAATCGAAAATAAAATGTTTAATAGTTTATTCTTTTTTAAGATCCACTAGAGAAATCTAGATAATGTTTATATAATGCTGCAATAAAGTTTTTTTTGTGTATGTAGGGAGTGCTCTAGCAAGTTGTAAAACATGATTTATTCATGCTTCTTTATCTGCCAACATAATAGGTATACACTGATAAAAAAATTCAGGCTCCTCCAAGTTAGCTAGTTATTCTCTATTGTTTCATTTTGTTTGGGAAAAATGTAAAAGGATTACAGTCCATGACAATTATCCAGTTTCTTTAGAGAGCTCTATAATAGAATATGAAAAAACATCGTCGATCATATACAATTAAATAGTCAGATCAAATCAAAATCATATTAATTAAAAAATAATAATTTAAAAAAATTTGACAAAAAAAAAAAAAAAAAAAACTGATGGTTTTCATATTCTACGAGTATTTCATTTTATGAGATTCAATTGATAATCCTTCAATAACGGATACCCAAATGAAATTAATGGAATTTGTAATATTTAAATACTTTTTCTCAAACATTATTGATGACATATTGTGAGGATACATCATACTGAATGACATTCCAATTAGCCAATTGGGGACCACAAATTTCAAACGTTCAACATTAAATACTCACAAAAGACCTTTAAACTTTGCAGAATATTGTTTGTATAACTCATTTTCATGTACCAAAGTATACGTGTAACATGTATTTTGTACAAATTAAGATCAACGTGAAAAACAAAAAATGATCACCCCTTATTCCCTTTGTGATCAAATTAAGCTAACTACATGCATAACTTTCTAAAATTCAAATCAAAAGGGCCTCTTGAGATCCTTAAAATCCATTGAATCAATACACTCAACCCTTCTTCTATGAAGATTCAAGACCTTCAACAAATCACTAGTCTCCTCTTTTAGCCTCTCCCCACACCCAACTTGCAATACCAACAAGAGCTTTTGAAAAGCACCAACTTGAAGAGCCTCAACAACAGCCCTAATGATCCTCTCTTCATTGTCATCTCCCTCATCCTCACGACTCTTGCAAAGCTTCCATATTATCGACACCGAGAACTCAGTAGCCGAGTCGGATACTCGGAGTATCTTCTTCACCAAAACCGGCATAGTCAAGGCGTTGCCATAGGCCTCTTCTCTCCCCTTTTTGCAGCTACAAATCCCGTCTAGAACTCCCAAGGCCTTGTCACAAACACTTCTCTCCGAGCCCACAATCATTTCTAGGAGCGAAGGGACCAAACCCATTTCCACAAATCTTTCTCTAATCTTGTCGTTTGAGAAAGAGGAAGAAACCATGTGGTACATCACCATTAACGAAGCTTTTGTTGGAGTAGGGCAAATGGGTTCCTTTATAAGCTTTACGAGAGCTTCCATGGCTCCTTCAATCTCCGCCATGGCTGCGATTTTCCTCGGATTCGACGACACGATTTGTTTTATTACCAACACAGAGTTTCTTCTTCGTGATAAATCCCCCGCCTCCATAAGCCTCACCATGCAATGTAAAGAAGATTCCAACCCTAAAACGCACTTTGCCTCTTCATCCAAAGGAAAAAACAACGTCAAAGCGGATAACAATTCCTCCAATATTCCCATTCGGTTTTCGTCGAAAACCGCCTTCTCCGACGAGGATAAGGCCTCAAATGCGGCCGCCAAGGCCTTCCCGGCGCCGTTGCTCATAATGCGCCTCTTGTTCCCCTCGCTCTCTTTCATTGAATCCTTGAGTTTCATCACCAATTCCTTGCACTTCTCGCGGTCTCTCCGCTCGGCGGCCTCGGTAATCTTGAAGAGAATCTCCGATACCTCGTCGGAGCTTATCGGAATTCGAGGCGTCGGAATCCTCTCAATTCCGTAGGACTTGTTCTGGACGCACCAGTCTTGGATCATCTTCCGAATAGTGTGATTGGGTATAGGCTCGAGGCTTCTCAGTACTTGGTTGGTAATCGGGCAGGTGACGTTGCCGGATTCGATCCACGTCTCGATGCTCTGGCGATCGTAGGTGATTCCGGTGGTTAAAGTGACCGGATCTTTCATCAAGTCCAGAGATATCGGGCACCGGAAATGGCTTGGTATCGTCAACTCGATATCGCCCGCACCGCCATCAAGGGGGAGCTTCTCCTTGCCGGCTAGGCGTCCCGCCGATCTCCGCCGTCTCCACGAAGAGATCATTATTTTTGTTGCTACTGTGTACCAAGTTTGGTGTTTAGTTTTTGTTGTTCTTTGTGGTGTATAATAATTCTGTGGTGTTTTTGTTTTTTGTAAAAAGCTTGGAATTTGAATGGGAGATATGGGTTGTGTTGGGTTTGGATTTATATAAATATGTGCACACTCTCAACGAAAAATATGACGCGGGTTTGGACTTTGAAAACTTAGGCCAAGAAAATTGCAAAAATTTTAGTTAGATATATAAAAATGAAAATAAATATAGGAGAGAAGAAAGGGTTTTGAATATTTGACCGTTGAATTAAAGTTTGAAATGGTAAAATTGAACACACCGCCAAAAGTTGGACGGAGAACGAGTAGAGCATGGGGTTTTGGAATTTAGAATGGATCAAATCAAAATACCAAAGAAGAACAAAAAGAAGGAACAAATTTTCAAACGTTTGACAAAAAACCGGTGAACGCCAACGGGTCGGTGGACTGACCAACTCCAAAGCACTATTAAGCCAAAAACGTAGCTATTTTTAAAAGTGGGTTCATGACAAAAGAATGCAAACATTTATTTTTTTGACACTCACGTTTATATTAGGTTCCATCAATTTTAGATATATTTTTTAATTTGATTTGATTTTAAAATTCTTGCACTATAGCAAGCTCTTTTTTAATTATTATTTTCATTTTTTTATTTTTTTATTTTATTTTTTGCCGTAATCTATATCTATTACTATTACTTACTCTTACATGTTAAATCCAATCAAAATGCTTATAAAATATACAAAAACTATAAAAATTGATTTAAGATTTTACAGCCCAAATAATGTCCTACCAGAAGGGTATTACCCAACTAAAGTTTCTCTTTTTTCTTTATTTCTTAATAATTTTTTTAAAGTAATTTAGCTATTTAGCTAAGCTTGATGTTAGTCCGGTCTTAGCGTTTTGGTTCACATTTTGGACCTCGATTTAACGCGGCGCCATATCTTAAAACGACGTTTTTGTGAGCCATATGTCTTATTTTCAGTTGTTTAAGCGTGTTGAATTAAGTATTTTAATTCGCTAGGAACTGGACGTGATATACAGGAAAACTTTAATTAAATCCTTCCCCATGTAATCCACGTAACACCGAGTGTCAAAAATCTCCTTCACACGCAAAATTAATTTTTCATCCTTTTGTTACGTTTGAAGTGGGTTTTATTTTTGGTTTGGTCTCTCTTAAATTCGTCGTGTTTAGTCAAGTATGTAATAATTATGGCATTGTAGACTTGGCATGAAATAATATTTTCTCTCAAGTTTTGTACGTTGGAACTAAAATTCTAAGTTCATTTTGGCATGACAAGGATTTTTTTTTTTTTTTTTCCGGATTGACCGTTTCGTAATCTTCGCATGTAATAATGGGGAAGTTGCTAACGTACGTCTAGGTGAGAACATGAAACTAGACTCAAACTACAAGATTTCTTTATAATCAAATTATATACAAAGAGTAATTATTAGAGGACATGGATTTGTCTAAAGTTTTTCTTATTTTTTTTTCTTGGGTACAAGTGTTTTCTTAAAGTTAGGACAATAGTGATTTATATTTGCCGTTGTTTATCAAAAAGTTGCATCAATTAGTAGTAAGCAATTTCAGCATATAAATAACAAAAATAATAATATCAGTAAACCAAAGTTCTGATACTGCCTTGTGGGAACTTGATATTCTTCATTCGAAGCAACAAAAGAGAAACGACATAAAAGAGTTTCTCTGATAGGTTAGTGTCATTGATGGTGTCAGTTTTTAAACATTGAATTGATAATTTATTTTTTCTAATTCTATCATAAAAACTCTAAAAAAGGAAAAAGAATAAACCGAAATCGCAGCCTTATGCAAACCTAGGTAAGGAAAGGTAAATGAGTGGTGGATGCGCGTGGTCAACATTAGACAGCACCCGTTGCTTTATAGTTAATTATTTATTAGCTTTAAACACCCCTTCGTGGACTAGGAGTCTCATTTGAGTTCCAAGTGTTCAAGGCTTCAAAGATGAGTGATCATACACACCATTTGTTTTAGGAAATACGTATACACCAATTTGACCCTAAATCCACTGTATACGTAAATGTTAAGGATATAAACTTTATTAACCATTCTACGACTTGTTATTACTTTTATTGGTTGGTTTAATTTTTTATTAGTGACTGATGTGATAATCTTTTAAACATTTGTTAATAAAAAATGATGATTTAAGTTGGTGTTGCTGACATTATTATTATATATATAAGACTTATTTTCAATTGTTACATTTTCATCGATAATTACTATTAAATATGAAAATTTAATGACATGATTGATAAAAATTCAATTTCATTAATTTTTTTGATTAATTATCTAATTTATTACAATTAACAGATTAATATCTTACGATTAAATAATAATATTAATTAATAAATAAATATTTGAGTAATCATTAAAACCACAATTGATATATAAAATATGCTTTTATTACGTGTATATATGCGTAGATATATAATTATGTGTAACACGTGTGTGTTAACCACAATATCGTAATTCCGTGGCAAGGCACAGTAGATTTAGCCTTTTTTTCTTTTTCTTTTTAGTTTGATTTGATTGAAATAAATCTGGTATTTTGGTATAGAATCAGATGGATTAAAAGTGTCAATCTAATTAGGATGTACTGATACTATTTTATATCAGTTTTCGTAATTTATTTAAAAAAAAATAGATTTGGCATTGGTAGTGTAATCCACTGTGGCACTCGAACTCTGGTTTTGATAAAAACCGGAAACTGGCCATCAGTGTTGATTGTTGAATGATCACTAACTACTCTATAATTTTGTTTCATATGTAACAACGATCAGATATTTTAATTTGTTGGTGATTATAGTAAAATGCGAAGAAACTTGTCTAAGCAAAATGCGATCCTTATAATTACAGGAATTATGAAAGTAAAATTAGGGCCCGTTTAGTTCGTTGATTCGAGTTGAGATGTGACTTTATGTGAGAGCTTTTTACTGTAGTAAAAAAGTTAGATGTGACTGTTTTTGAGATTTAGTTCGTTAATTCGAGTTGAGATGTGACTTTGTGTAAGAGCTTTTTACTGTAGTAAAAAAGTTATATGAGAGCTTTTTACTGTAGTAAAAAAGTTAGATGTGACTGTTTCTGAGATTTAGTTCGTTAATTCGAGTTGAGATGTGACTTTGTGTAAGAGCTTTTTACTGTAGTAAAAAAGTTAGATGTGACTGTTTTTTAGAACTTTTTACTGTAATAAAACTTGAATTCTAAACTTAAATTGGTGAAATAAACGAGGTCTGTGTAACAAAACTCGAATTCTAAACTCAAATTAGTGAAATGAACGGAGCTTATATAATTGGTAATCCATTAAAATTTCAATCCTTTTTTATAATTTGTTTCGTACACTTGTCTCAATTCATAGTTTAGTATTTGAAGACAACTAATACTCAATTTTAGCTGAATCTCATACCGGGAGGCGAAATTTTGACGGATGGAAATTTTGAAAAATCCTTTTGGAAGTTTCGAGAATGCTTGCTGAACGGAAACATTAGTATTTCATTTCAACTTAGGGATGTTGTTTAATTCTTGAATAAAATTATCCTTTTTTTTTCCTTCCTAAAGTCCCCTAACGTTGTTTTTCGCATTCATCATTTTTTTAATTATTATTTTTAATGAGCAACTTCAACAGGAATCAATTATAAGACGTTTGGTTTATGAGTTCAGAACCATAATTCATAATCTAATTTTTGAAATTTAAATTTTTTATGAGAAAAAAATACTGTAAAAAATTAAGAATTATAATTCAACAAATATCCCGTTAATAAAAATGAAAAGGAGTACATCATATGTGGATTCGAATTTTTATTTTTTAATTAAAAAACTAAATGAAAGGGATATAGAAAAGATTAAACGAAAACAAAGAACGGAGAAAACGGAAAGGAGAAAAGCACTTGCACCTTTGACAGGCTATGGTGAGTAAATTTGAATCTTCTACGGTTCTACTGAATTTAATGAGATAAATAGTGAGAATACGAAGAGTTTTAGGTGCGGATTGATTTATGTCATAGGTTTACAAACTTTTAGTTTTTTTGCCATGTAACAAAAGAAAATACAATCTCCAACCTCCTTCCCGCGACACGATCATATAGTCAATTTGCGTTGATGCCAAAGTCTAAGAGATACATCAGAAATCGATATGTGGATCTGATATGTATTCTACTCTTCCATTGCATATCTATGGCGTGTTTCATGGGGCTGAGGACCTCAAATCTCGCTGGAGTTGAGGAAGAAGATTTGGATCTTTTGGATATTTATTTTATTTTTTTGATAGTTTTGTGATTTTGTGATTTTTAATTGTTTTTTTTTTCATGATTTTTGTGGGGGTTTTTTTGGGTATGATTTTGGTTATTTTTGTGATTTTCTTTGTATTTCGATGAGAAAATTCGAGATACTACATCGACAATTTTAGCACATGTCAATCGGTATCACAGTAGTTACCAGCCGGTATCACGACAATTACTGGCTGGGTATGGGCGATTATTGGCCGGTTTCATGGCAGATACCAACGGTTACCGATAGTATCACGGCAAATACCAATGATTATCGATCATTATTATCATGGTGGATATCGATAGTTAAGTGTACAGAGACGTGACATTTGTTTTTTCTTTCTAAATAGTTTTGGCTCATTGATAAATCAATCGAAGCCGAAATAAAGGGGCCGGATTTTTCATCTGACTAAAGAGCCCAAATTTAGTAGTTCAGCTGGGCCTCTAAATTTAAATCACTGGGCTGGGTAAGCGGTGGTAGGCCTTAATGCCACCAGCAATAAACGCCCCAGGAAAAAAGTGCTCTTTCAGATTATTTGGACCATTGTTCTATCTCGTAGGCTTGTTTTGATTTGTCCAACAAGTTAAGATATAATTCATTCCGTTTCATTTGCAGTCTGCCGGTTTAGTCAGTTTTGTCCCTGAACTGTAGATCAAATTTCATTTTGTTCCCTTCTTGAGTCATTAATCTGCCGAACTATCCCAAATTAGTTATTTCGGTCACTGTTTTAAGAGTTCTACCTGATTTATGATCATA